ATAAAAAACAGGACATATGTTGCTTAGAAAACGAAAGATAACAGGGGAGGCACCAAGCGGATCTCTGTTGGAGGGAGTTTTATAATTGAGGCATAACTAGAGAAATGTTCCTCTAATTGGTCACCACCCATCTAAATTTTGCAAGTGAAAGCAGTTGCCTCTAATGATGATTTCAGCTGCTGGGCAAACACTGTTGGAACGATGCAATCTTTCAGGGACCCTGATCCCAGACCATTTATGACTTTTTAAAATTGTGCCCAGAAGCAAACTTGGATCTAGTGAATCTCTTTAAGTATAGGGGTGAAAATGCTAATACCAACCAGCATCTCTCAACAACCTAGTTGCTGTATTCTGCATCATCTGGTTTCTGATTTTTTTTCTAAAAGCAGAAGCTATAACATGTTGCATTAATCAAGCATGGATATTCCTGATGAAATGGGTACCTGCCATGTCTTGACTGAAGGCTTCATAAATGGGAAAAGTAGACTTGAAGAATTTGCAAATAATTATTGGAAACATAAACAGTAAGCAGGCATATTATTAACCAGTGCTCTGCGTAACATGTTGTCAATAACCAATCATTTTATATAGCGTTTAAAATTTGCAACGGGCTTCTCTTGCTTTGCCTCACGGTAACACTTTGAGGCATGTGCCCATTAGCTCCATTTTTCAAAGGCCGAGAGAAGTTGTTTTGTCTGAGTATATGCAAAGGAGCATTTGGCAGAGACTTGAGTTCGGCTCTCTTGGATCCAAGTGCAAAAACCTCTCATCATCAAGCTTACTTTGCAGGAGGCATATTAACGCATTCTCTTTGTTTCACTGTTTTGTAGGACGGACATGGCGTTTTTCATCAAGTGTGGTTTGACAATCCCAGGAGCATTTCTCTGAAGGCAGCCTATGTGAAAAAACTTGGCTTAAGGGGTATTGGCATGTGGAACGCAGATTGCCTTAACTACTCCGGTGGCTCCTTAGCACAAGAGCAAACAGCAGCAATGTGGGCAGCCTTGATACCAAAGTGACTAAAGGAGAGTGTTTAGTTTGCCTGTTAGCTATCATTATTTTCAATTTTAATGCATTTTTACATACAGATATAATTAGTTTTAATTATCTGGTTTTTATTTTTTCAATTCTAATACATCTTTATCAACAAATAAAATTAAATACCTGCTTTATATTTTGTTCAGCATTAATAAATAATGTTTTAAGTACCTTATATCACATGTGTTTCTTTTATCCTGTAACTGATTGATTATTTAGCAAAACCTTTCGATAGTACCATGGGCGCTAGGAAGAGCCCATAGAATGGGGGAAGAAGCAGAAAGCGAGGGGAATATCCCTAACATTTCTAACCTCCCTTCCCCTGTAAAGGCCCATCCTTTTCAACCCGTCATGTGTTCCTCAGTTCTCCACCCTCAGGACAGCATTTCTCATTCTCAAGACACCTCTGGCCTATGCAAACACATAATCTAATTCCAATGTACCCATCCCTTTCTGACTACAACAGGGGGCCAGCAGTGCCCTATAACAAGAGTCAACCTGAGCCCATGGCAGGGGGAAAAAAGCAATACAAGAAAAAAAAAATCACACAAATTTCCTCTGCTCACCAACCCAACTGCCTGGCCTGATTTCACCACTAAGAGATAACCTAGGTAAAGGTAAAGGGACCCCTGACCATTAGGTCCAGTCGTGACCGACTCTGGGGTTGCGGCGCTCATCTCGCTTTATTGGCCGAGGGAGCCGGCGTACAGCTTCCGGGTCATGTGGCCAGCATGACTAGGCCGCTTCTGGCGAACCAGAGCAGCGCACGGAAACACCGTTTACCTTCCCGCAGGAGCGGTACCTATTTATCTACTTGCACTTTGACGTGCTTTCGAACTGCTAGGTTGGCAGGAGCAGGGACCGAGCAACGGGAGCTCACCCCGTTGCAGGGATTCGAACCGCCGACCTTCTGATTGGCAAGTCCTAGGCTCTGTGGTTTAACCCACAGCGTCACCCGTGTCCCTAGAGATGACCTAGACAAGGTCAAAAGGCAGAGCACCCTCACTCTTGTGACACAATACACAAGCTGGCCTCAGGACAACCTCTCCCTGACCAGCCACTTCAGAAAGCACCCTGGGGGTGCAGTTTCTACATGGGCTCAACATGCCACCACCAGCTCCTCCTTCCAACAGCCGTCTCAAGAAGTAGGATAGCATGACATTAAAGTCGCTCTTCAAGGAGATGTGCTGTTGCTGCTCTACTTTCTTTTTCAGTTAGATCTCGAAAACTTCGCTCCCCCAAGCAAAGATGGAAGTCCAAAGACTCCTATAATCCTGGCGATCATGCGGCAGCTCGTGCATTCGTTCTATTTGTATGCCGTTTCCCACAAAAATAAGCCTGCTAAGTGGCTAAGGGCAAAGAGAAACAATACATTTCAACACCAAACAATACAAAAAGCATTCCTAGTAACGCAGCAAAGCAACACAATAGCAAATATAATAAACAAAAAAAAAGCATTTCAGAACTCTAAATATAACAAGATTACATAAACAATTATTGCAGCATCCAATAACAAAAATAAAGGCGCTTTATAATTTCACATTGGTCCTAGAAACATTGGTCCTTTACATGAAGTTGCTCATGATCCTGCAAGGCTTCCAAGGACAAGTGGGGGACCGTTGGAAACACGACTCCTATGGGGTTAAGTTACCCGTTTTCTTTATAGGCATACGCAGAACTATCTGAACGTACAAACATATTGGGACGTAGCAAAGTACACTGTGCCTTTTTCTCAATGTACCATTTTTACTCAAGAATATACTGTGCACAATCAACTCTGACTAAAGTATTCTGACTGGTGTTCCTTTTCATAGCTGCAGGAGAAAATTCTCTCTTTTGAAAATACGTACCCTAAGAAAGCAAAGGACAGAAAACTGTTGGTCAGCGTAAATAAAATGCAAGGGGAAGATGCACATAAAACCATGAGCCATATCCTGAGCTGCCAACATCGAGAGAACTGTTAGATCAATGATTTGACATGGGATAGGGGCAAGAGACTGTTCTGGTTAATAATTGACTACCCATGTTCACAGCTTAGGTCAAAGTGCATAGTTGATAACGCTTTTTTCATCACACAGGGACTGGCCTTATATATGTAAGGCCTTTACCTACACAAATTATATTAACTCTGGAAAATCTGCCAAGTTTTGTTTTACCTTTTGTGTAACATTTCAGTTTCTTTTTATCAACTAAGCTGAAGAACAAATCAAGGAATTGCTTAGGAAGATAAGGTGGTGTATTCAGGGCCGGATTTAGGTTTGATGAGGCCCTAAGCTACTGAAGGTAATGGGGCCCTTTATATGTCCAGCTGTCCTTTGTCAACAACAAAATGTCGCTGCTTTTTGTGTTGAATATATGCTATACAGTATGGTAATTTATGGACCTAAGAGGTATCAAAAGCCATTTGGACATAACAAAATATGTATTTTATCAAAGTAATTGATATAGAAATGAGCAAACCAGTGATATTTTAGGGAGCAGGCTAGCATTACTTACATCATAGGAGCCTACACAACACAAAACTCTGTTGCTGTATGTAGGTTTTATTTTTATTTTTTTATCTTATATTTTGGAAATGCACATCCAGTTTTTTTCTTTAATTTTTTGGGGGCCCCCAAGAGAGTGGGGCCCTAAGCTATAGCTTCTTTAGCTTATATGTAAATCCGGCACTGGGTGTATTACACCGAGTCACTCAGACCATTGCTCCATCTAGCAATAGCCCTCCAGATTTTTAGAGAGAAGCATTTCCCAATCCTGGAGATAGGATCGGACCTGGGACCCTTTGATGCAAGGCCAGTGTACTACAGAATGAACAGCCCTTCCCCAGGGATATTTACATCTTGCCAGAGGTGGTAGCCTATTAGTCTACTGTAGCAAAAACAATGAAAAGTCTTATGATCCCTTAAAGCAGCGGTGAAGGGACCTCTGGCCCAGGGTCAAAATACAGCCCTCCAGGCTTATCTAGTTCCCCTTGGGACTTCATAATATGGACAGACGGGATGTCAGTCCCTAGCTACATGTAACTTTATAACCTGTTGATAAGGTAGATATATATCTCAGCTTTGCTATCATCAACAGTGGAAAAGGCCATCTGTACAGAGGAAAAAAGTGTTTGAGGGTAAGATACTCTACTGAATGGAACAAAATATGGGCCAAGGGTCTTAAGAACCATGAAACAAGTTACATGAGCCCAAGGGGGCCTTTGTCACACAGTTCTCCTTAATAACAATAATTTTCTACCCATTGAGACATTTAATAAAACACTATATTTCAATAAAACTGCAACATAGCCACACCTTATTTTGTATTTTGTTTTATGAAATAGTATATTACATTTCCACAGTAGAGGCAGATCTGTTTTTTAAAATATTTTTTTCCGATAGAGCTGGCTCTTCAAACTTGCACGCCAAGGAGCAGGCAGAATTGATGCTTTGTGGCTGCAAAATTAAGGACTTCAGTCTCACTTTCAATCTTAGATGTCAAATGCTTCCTTAATGAAAGGTAAAAAGGAAATGGATGGGGGGTGGGGTTTCTGTTGGCTGGTGTATTTAGGGATACCAAATACAGAGGGCTAGGAGGTGCAGCTCTCTCAAACCTTGCGAAATTAGGCTGCTTCCTCTTTGTTGAAAAAGTCCCCCCTTCACTAATACTGTAAAATGCTGCCTTCTTCCTTCTGCCAAAATTCCCCTCAGTTTGCAGACACTGGCAGGGGCAACTGACTGAGGGAAACGGTGACTGTCTCCATCTACAAACCTGGTCTGAGGCACTGACTGGCACTAGGGGGAGCCCACAGACTTAAGGTGGCCATCTCTGAGTAACCCCAGCATGCACACCCCTTTTTCTGGACACCCTGGCCTAGAACTTCTTTCCTTGTTAAGAATCGGCCGAGGAAGTGTTCCCACAGCAACAGATCCAATAGCCATGTGCAAGGCCTTGTCCCCAGTTGGACCAGGAATTTTCATCTGAGGGCTCAAGGGTGACAGCACGTAGCATCTTGATTCGATAGGGTTGGGCTTTGGGTTAGAAAAGGAACCAGCGGAGCAATGTTACTAAATTTACTGTTGCTGAAAATTTAGGCTGCAATCCTGGGCCCGTTTAACTCTGCTAGGACTGAGCCACACAGCGTGTTTTCTGTGGGGTGCTTCTTTTGCTGAAATCCCATTCAAACCAGCTGCAGACTGAAAGTGACCAGTTGGTGCATTTCAACTGCTGCATTTTCAAGCAGCGTTTACCAGACCACAAGGATGGCTAGTCTAGGGTTGCCACCTTTCTCTTATAATAAAGGGACCTGCTGACCAGGGAAGCAGTGGGTACTAGGTGGCCGTGCGGGTCCTTGTTGGTTTTACGTGCTTCTTTGACCCTGTTCCTTTATAGAGGGGTTGGGTGGATATTGCAGGCATAGTCTATAGGTACCAATGAAACCCCCTCCCCTCCCCCCAAAAACCACCTCATGACTATTTAAGTGTTTTAAATGTGTACTGCAGATGAAAACTCAAACTCCCTTGCAAGAAACGGTTAACAGCCCCAAATTCTCTTTCAGCCTGATCCTTTAAAAATAGAAATAAGTCCCAATTAGTTCAGCTGAATATAGTATGCAGAGGATCGGAGCCTTAAAATGGTGGTTGTTTTTAAGTTATTTAAATAAATATGATGGAGAATATTTAGAGGACTATGGAATTATCACTCTCATCCTTTGGAAGTCTACGTTGACTTTCTGGCACCTGAGACAGAATGATTTGACTTGTCCCACTTCCCGTAGGATGAAAATGAGGACGGGGGTGGGGAGTTCTGTACACACCAACAAAGAACCTTGATTCCGGTGGGGGGAGGGGTTGTGGAAGTGAGATTGTGGCATGGGGAGGTTGCTAGGCGGTAGAGAGACACACCTGCTGGCCGTCCTTCTCCTCCGCCTGTGGCTGGGCTCAGGCACGTGCCCCTGTGACAACCCCATGCTCTGCAACCCCATCTCTGAAAGCAGAGAGTTCGAGGTGCGCAGGAACAAGGTCCCTTATGGGAACCATGTGGGGGTAAAATTTATTATTATTGTTATTTTGCAATGAATAGGATTAAAGGGCACATCATGTCTGATGTAGATTTTTTCAGTTTCGTTGTTTTGTATGGGACAATGACAATAAAGATTATCATATCATATGTGGACCAGCCAATCCCTAACAACAAAATGGAGAAATCTAGCAGGCGGTTGCAAAGTCACCTCCTGCGCTGCCCACCTGTTTTAAGGCTACTCGGCCTGCTGTGTTTTCTTCCTCAAAGGGTAGCTCCGATTTTACTGAGCAGGGGAGGAAGGAGCTCTGGCAGAGGGCCTTCCAGGGAATATAGGACACTCTCCCCTCTGAAGGCAGCCAACTCAGAGAGTGCCTTAAGCTGTCACCACCACTCCATTCTCAATTTCCAGGCCTGCACCCACTCCCTCCATCCAGTGGTGTATCGTGGGTTGCCAGCGCATGGGGCCCGCATGGGAGGGAGGGAAACGGTTGGAGTACGCATGCACACATTCAATGGCCTCACGGTGTCCACGTCATCCAGGAGATTGCAGCTGCAGAGAAAGAGGAGTCGTTCTGTTGTCTGGAGAGGTCACTCCCTGGTTTGCATGGAGAACCCATTTTCAAAAGAGCCCAGCGACGGAAGCATGCAGCTGTATTGAGGCAGCACCGGATGTTGAAATTTTGCGCCCCCTAACAATTTTGCGCCTGGGGCAACTCCCATACCACACCAATACCTCCATCTGTTCAGAAAGGAAAGAAGGCAAGCTTTCCTCAGATGAGGTGGAAGGGGAAGAGGAGAAGGGAGACACTGTGGGATCTCTTGAGTTACTTTCCCTTAACAAGTTATGTTTTCCCCTTCCTGTTCTGTTGTTTATTTTTTTACTTACTTGCTTAAGCACGAATTGAACTGGTGTGGGGTGTACCCTACCCACCAGATGCACCCTCTAAAAATTTTCACTCCCTGCCAATGGGGAGGGGTAACATCCCACACAGACTCCCGTTCCTCCCTACAGAGAAGGAACTTGTCGTGGTAAATACCAACTTTCGCACCTCCATATCAGGAGAAGCTTCCTCTGTTACTCCCCCCCCCCCAACATGTAACAAAGGCACAGAAGCACAAACATAGAAATCCTGTCCTGGGATGTTGGGTGAGGATGTCTCTAGGACTCAGGAGGGCTTATGTGTAAGTTGGGGGTTTCCCCTTGTACAAAACTGAGTGACAGTGCATTCTGTATCAAAACAGTAGAAAAAGAGTTGCCTTGTAGTAGGAGGCATGTAGCGACCAAAGAAGACAAATTGAACATATATTTTTGGGCGGCAGTGTACTTTTTATGAATTCGCAACGCAACACTTCATTGGTCAACTGCGAGAGTGTGCTTGGCATTTGAGACATTAAACAAATAGAGCTGGTGAAGAGAGTTAACATCTCCAGCTGTTGTGGGAAAGAGCTATCTACTTTGCTGTGCCTCTGCAGGTCTTTGTATTTGACGTCGGCGGGAAGACTTGGAAGTTCTATGACTGGTCGCAAATTACGACAGTGGCGGTTTTTGGAAAATATGACCCTGAGCTCATGTGCTACGCTCATTCGAAAGGATCCAGGATAGTTTTAAAAGGTATCTTCTGAGCAGGGTAATAAGAACATTTTTGTGCAAACTCGGAATGGATGCTTTCTGAAGTATATGCCCCTCAGAGGTCAATGATGTTTACTTCCATTAAGTGCACGTAAGACGGCAAACCTTAATATGACCCTATATGAGAATCACATAACAACTGTGATTCCCATCACAGTTTCTCGGTAGTGTGTGAAAGTAAGTTGTTCCACCAGCTGGTACTATCTGAGAGGCCTAGAACTGGCTAATAATCTCCAGTTTACATTAAGATGCCTCTGCTATAAAAGAAAGAAAATAGTCTGCATTGCATTGCTTTTGGGGAATCTCTCTTTTGAAGGTTCACAGCTTTAGATGCATGTAGAATCTGCTGCGTTCTTTGCTCACCCACCTAAACAAGTTCCACTGATTTCATAGACGTTCTTCAGGTAGCCTTTCCCAGGAATGCTGTTCAACTGCCGCCACCCATCTTGATGTGGAAATCCCCAAAGGCATATGGCAAAACATCCTCTCCCTGATTCAACAAAATCAGCTTGTGTATTCAGCCACTGTAGCAGCAGATACACATCTGGCATTAGCTTCGCCCAAGGCATGATGGAGAGCAGCAATGGCTGGAAAAAGATAGACATAACATTTTACAAGGACAGGAAGGACACCACGGACAGAATAATTGTCATACACAGGAGGAATAAGGATGTAGTTTGAATGCTTGACCTATAGTTTTATAAACCCTTTAAATGTGTGAAGACGAATAGATATCATTAATATTGCAGTTGTTGTATAAGGGATTTTTTTTGACTGAAAGGTAATTGAGATGAATAAGATTTTGGAACACAGAAACAAAGTAAGTCATCAAACCATCAATTCTAGCATGCAGGAGGCCACCTAAATTATATAATGATTGGGATTAGTAATTGTATTATAATTTGGCATTGTTATAATGAGACTATCATTGCATAGCTGTAATTGAAAACTAATAAAAATTATTGTAAAATAATAATAATACACACCTGGCAATCCATCTGCATCTGTATCACAAATTGACTTTATTGAGTTGGCTGTATGCAGCTGTAGCCTCTGCATCCCCATTTGGGGCCACTAATTATTACGACTGACTAACTGCCCTTCATTAGAGCTATAACAAGACCAATGTGTTTACTTTATTTCCAACCATTTTTAAAATCTTATCTCCCCGCCCCCAAAAGGAGATACAAAGTCTATAGGTATAGACAGTAATGAAATAAGTGGTTCAAACTCTAATCCTAAAGTCATGTGGTAGACTTCTGAGTAAACATATTTAAGATGCCGGTGGTATTTTTATATACAGGGAACAACCATTTTGCATGTGTTCAAAGCACATGCAGCCATGCGCCATTTTTAGACCTGGAAGATGGCGTAACAGGAGTTCATGTCCCGTTGATGTGTGCAATGACCCAGAATGCAACTGTTTATATAAACATCTCATCTAGTGAAATTTGTATTTACATTTGTATTAATTTGGTGAAAATTTGTTTTTTAAAAAAAATTGGAAAAGCAATAAAAACAATAGGCCAAATATATATATATCATCTAGTGATGCAAAACTTTGACAACTAATCGCCATTTGTTCTTTAGGAGACATACCTCTGAAGAAAATTGTTAACCCTGCTGCCAGGACAGCCTGGATAAACCATCAGTTGGCCCTGGCCAAAAGGCAGTACATGGATGGAATCAATATAGACATTGAGCAACAGGTTAAAAAGTATTCGGCCAAATATTATGCATTGACAGCTTTGGTTGAAGAAATGACAGAAGCATTTCACAAAGAAATTCCAGGATCACAGGTAAAAATAAAGCAGATTCCTCTTACAGGTTGTTTACATATCACATGTGTGATGTGTGTCACTCCAATGGATGGGATTCAAGGCTCCTGCTGGCATTTCCCATTGTGAGCAAAAAATTTGGTCCTGAATATAAGTGTAGAACTCTAAAATTATGAAGAACTGCAAAATTCTACAGTACAAATTCTACAAATACCTTCCAAATCTCCTCAAAGTCATTTCTCCTGCATATTCCCCGTCTTACCTTAATGGCACATGTTAATTTATCATTAATAGCTATATCCCACATCACTTTATACCATTCTTCCATTTTATATTCTGCTTGCCCCTTCCACTTCCTAGCTATAGTTTGTGCAGCTGCCAATAAATTTGTGAGCAAGTCCTTCATAGTTTCTTCTTATGTTCCTATAGTAGCAGATGATTATGATGGGTGGCATTTCAATTTATTACTCACGCTTCTTCACTATAAGGTATTTTAAATTGTTGTAACCCATCCTGGGATCTTAATAATAGTAAAAACAATTTAAAACTAATTACAGTCCCAAGAATAGTCTGGGTCCTAAAAATACGTTTCCCCCCACAGGTTCACTGTTTGTCAAAAACAAATACAGTGGTACCTCAGGTTACAGACGCTTCAGGTTACAGACTCCGCTAACCCAGAAATAGTACCTCGGGTTGAGAACTTTGCTTCAGGATGAGAACAGAAATCGCACAGTGGCAGCGGGAGGCCCCATTAGCTAAAGTGGTTCCTCAGGTTAAGAACAGTTTCAGATTAAGAATGGACCTCCAGAATGAATTAAGTTCTTAACCCGAGGTACCACTGTAACCTAAAACCAACTAACCAACCCTTTATCCACTTAAGCCACAATCCCATCTGAGAGTACTGTTGCGTCCTTTTAAAGTATCTGTGCCAGCTTTCTGGCCTTCTGTGAACACCTATTCTGTAACAGATAGCCAGTGCTTTTTTTCCTTTAAAAAAATGTTTAGGGGTACTCTCATTTTCCTACTCATTTGAAATACTGCCCCTAAGTTTGAGGCCAAACTTAGATTCACAAAATGTTTAGGGGTATGCGTACCCCTGCGTACCCCCCAGAAAAAAAGCACTGAATTCACAACATATATGTGTTCAGCTAGGCTGTGGGAAAACCCAAATATATGCAAAGTGTGAAGAGCTGGCTGCTCAAATTGTGGGTGGCTGCACTAATGGAGAAAATTGGCAAGCTAGTCTTGAAATTTAGGCTGGAATCCCACACTTATCTGGGTGTGTGCCCCACTGAATACAGTAGGACATACACCTGAGGAAACATGCATAGAATTCAGCTCTAATGACACTCCCTTGTTATAATTTGGAAAAAAATAATGGGCATATATATATATATGGTTCTGATAATGCTGCAGTTGAGGTGGAAACATTCTTTCGATTGTAATTTTTAATGCAATGTTATTGGGCAGGGGTCAGCAAACTTTTTGAGCAGGGGGCCGGTCCACTGTCCCTCAGACCTTGTGGGGGGCCAGACTATATTTGGCGGAGGGATGAATGGATTCCTATGCCCCACAACTAACCCAGAGATGCATTTTAAATAAAAGCACACATTCTACTCATGTAAAAACACCAGGCAGGCCCCACAAATAACCCAGAGATGCATTTTAAATAAAAGGACACATTCTACTCATGTAAAAACACACTGGTTCCCGGACTGTCTGCAGGCTGGATTTAGAAGGCGATTGGGCCAGATCTGGCCCCCGGGCCTTAGTTTGCCTACTTATGTTACAGGGTGTGCTTGTGTGTGTGTTGTTACTGCAATAACATTGACAATTGTTTCTACAAATAATGCCTGTTTTGTGACAAATGTGCAGTTCTCTTTCCTCCGCAGGTAACTTTTGATGTACCCTGGTGTCCAGAATGCATATACAAAAGAGTATACAACTATACTGGGATAGCTAATTCCTGTGATTTCGTGTTTGTGATGTCTTATGATGAACAGAGTCAGATGTGGTCACACTGCATACTAGGAGCTAATGCTCCATACAATCAAACCTTAGCTGGTAAGAGTTAGCCTCAGTTTACGGACTATGAAAATCTACTGGACATTGGCAGTAGGCTTAGCAACCCTATGAACCTTAATTAGAATAAATTATGTAAATTGTGGAACTTCGAATAAATCTGTATATTGCTTGGAAGTGATACATTAAAACCATGTTTGAGAGAGTTGCAATGCACATCTTTAAGCAGCTGCAGTAGTAGAAATCCCAGTTGTGGATCTTGGTTCTAAACTAAAGGAAATATAGCCACCTTAAAATCTGTCAACATCTGTTCTCATATTAAGGTGCCTTCTTGACAAGAGTAAGACATAAATCACATGGAAAATAGAATCACACAGCACTCTTCAAAGGTAGCTAGCTGCATGTGAAAAAGACTTGGAGGGCTAGTCGTATCTTGAATGTTTCTCAACAGCTTTTGATTTGTTAATGCTACAAACGTAGCTGCAGGCGTGGAAGTAAGAATAAAAAAGCAGGCAGGTAAATGTTAAATTTTATATTAAATTAGGCTATGACAATTATATTCGCATCGGCATTAATCCCAAAAAGCTTGTGATGGGTGTTCCATGGTATGGCTATGATTATACCTGCCGAGGTTTATCTAAGGTAAGAGAAAGACTGCTAATTTCTAACTATGTTTTGCTCACTGTGGTTTATAAAGTTTGTTTTTGTGGGCACGGATTCTACACTGATTCAAAACTGTTGTAACAGCCTGCGTTTTACCTCCGCCCAATTCTATAAATTTGCACACTGTGGTTGGTGTGTGGTGTACTTAAGCAGAATTTTGTTAAGAAAATGGAGAGCTTGTTAAACAGGAAATATCTTATTTCTGAGAGATTTTAATGGGGTAGTAGACTCTTGTGTGGACGAGGAATTAAAATATATGCACATGATCTACATAGCGCTTCTTGTGCTTTAGTACATTTGCATGACACAAGTTGTGTTTCTCCAGGACCATGTTTGTTCCGTTGCAAAAATCCCCTTCAGAGGGGCTCCATGCAGTGATCCTGTGGGACACCAAGTGCCCTACAAAGCAGTAATGAAGCAGATAGTTCCCAGATCACTGTCTGGGATCCTGTGGGATAAGGAACAGAAAGCTCCATATGTGGAATACAAGGCAAGTTGTATAAAATTCCTTTATATGTTGTTGTTTATTTTAAACCATTTATTTATTATTCTATATATATAAAAGAAAGTTACAGCAGTGCATCTGTTCATTCAGGATTTAATCCCTCCTGGCAAGAAGCCACCTCGTACATTCCTAGTTCCAATACACAAAATTCCGGTAATCTCATGGTGGTCTATCAGCTTTCTGTAATAATTGGAGAAGAGAGAAAATGATAAATGCACAACAGCAATAATTTAACCAAAGGAGGAGGAAAGGTGGACGGAAAGTAATCTGTTTATTTTTTTATTTAATTTTTATTGGAATTTTATTTACAACACAACACAAACCCCCAATACACAAATCCACCCTCATTAAACATGAACTTAACATACAGTGATCATAACATTCAACAATACAAACAACCAAATAAAAACTTCCTTTATCCTGTATCTGGCCTCTTTATTTACGTACTTCTTATAAACTGTTTCCTTCATGAATAATTATTAAGATTTTCCTAATTATATAAATATCCACAAAGTCTCCTGAAGACATTAATAGAAACAAATCCAGGTATGTATTTTAGGGCACTGTTTTGTGAAGTATTCTCTGCATTTCCCCCATGCTTTTTGAAACTCTTGTCTAGTGTGATCTCTAATTGCCTCTGCTAATCTAACCAGTTCAATATACTCTAATGGTTTATCTTGCCATTTCTTTTTTGTTGGCAGTTTCTTTTTTCCAGTTTTCAGCAATTATTTCTTTAAAAATTCTCTTTTAGCTAGTTGCATCAGTCCCTGTAACCAAGTCTGTATTGAAGGGGATTAGCTTCCCAGTAGCACCATATTGATTTTACTTTTACTATCAAGCAAGTTTAATTATAATAATGTTATTATTTATACCCCGCCCGTCTGGCTGGGTTTCCCCAGGCGGAGTGCAGCATATCTAAAAAACATAATAAAGAACACATATCAAGCATTTGAAACCTCCCAATACAGGGCTGCCTTCAGATGTCTTCTAAAAGTTGTGTGATACTTTATCTCCTTGACATCTGAAAGAAGGGCGTTCCACAGGGCGGGCGCCACTGCTGAGAAGACCTTCTGCCTGGTTCCCTGTAACATCACTTCTCACAGTGAGGGAACCGCCAGAAGGCCCTCAGAGGAGTCTTTCAGAGCCCCATACATCTGGCAAGGAGCCGAAAATTGTAACGACAGAAGAAAACTTGCCTACTCTTTCCCATCAGCTTTCTGCAGAATAATTTGCAGAAGATACCAGATCTATTTAACTGGCCAGTGTGTGTATAGTCCTAGTTCAGGCTTCCTCAACCTTGGCCCTCCAGATGTTTTGAGACTACAATTCCCAGCATCCCTGACCACTGGTCCTGCTAGCTAGGGATCATGGGCGTTGTAGGCCAAAAGCATCTGGAGGGCCGAGGCTGAGGAAGCCTGCCCTAGTTCCTTGGATTTCTCCTATGCTCATGAACACCTAAAGCTGTGAGGCTGGGTTTGGAAAGAACACAGGGAAAGCATGCTAACATCTTTTCTCCATTTGACTTTTGCAGGACCCACAGGGAGCTTTCCACCAAGTGTGGTTTGACGATCCCAGGAGCATTTCTCTGAAGGCAGCCTACGTGAAAAAACGCGGCTTACGAGGCATTGGCATGTGGCATGCGGATTGTCTCAGCTACTCCGGAGACTCGGCAGCACAAGGGCAGACAGCAGCAATGTGGGAGGCCTTGAAACCAAAGTGACTTTAGGAAAATGTGGGCTAAAATTTGGACAGCTGTGAATGGCTAATTACCTTCATGGGCATAGACTGCCAAGAGGGGAGAATCCTTTGAAATGTACCTCACCTTTCCCTCACTATAGTAAAAAGGCATACTGTGTACTATTGTACCAATGGATTCTTACTGTCATTTATTTATTTCTGTATAAGAAGTGGGGGGAAATGTTACAGCAATGACCCTGTGTATGTTACCTTGAGTTCCCTGGAAGAAAGGCAACATAAAAATGTAATAAATGAGACACCAATCGAAAACCTTCTATAGCTGCCACTGGATCTCATTACTTGACTTAAAACATGCATGCTATGAACGTTAGGCAGTATTTGGGGATATGCTGCTGCAATTAAAACAAGCATCACACTGCACAAATGAAAGCCATGCACAATTTCTCATACACAAACTGGAAAATGAAAAGTCCATCATTTGGATAGGAAGTAAGAAATATCGCACTGCTGAATTATTTGTGGTTTCCATAGTCTAGTTCAAGACGAGTAATTCAGTAGGACTGCTTGGTTGTATCTTCAGGCCTTCACTTTAAAAAACTATATAACAAAACATTGTTAATAGTTGTATTACATTTAGGCTTGTTTTTATCAGATCAGTTGAAGAGTTACTTTAAAAAAAAAGTTCTAAACTTCTTTCCAAAAAATAATTTCATATATTCATTTCAAATTATCTTTAAAACCATTCATATGACATAACACAATTTTAGTCATGCAACATTTTAATATTGAAAGAGGAAGCCTGTTGATCCCTAAATATATGTAACACACACACACACACTTTGCTATTATCTGCAGTGAAAGATGCCATCTATAGTCCAGGACTGTAGCCAAAGTGGCATTTGGGAGTCTGTTCAGAAGTGCCCTGGGTTGGTGAAATGGGAAGCAAATTTTTCCATTGGGCTAGCGCAAGCCTCTTGCGCGAGCCTAAATAGCTTGCTCAGTCCTGGCACTAATCTACTTTAATCAAACACCTGGTCAAGGAAGTGAGAAAGTCAGATGGTCTGTCCCTTCGAAGTTGACTGGTTGTCAAAAGTGACGATGCCACCCATTTATTTAGAATATTTGTGCACAGATCACAACATACACAGATGTTTAACTTGCATAGTACACACACACACACACACACACACACACACAGAGAGAGAGAGAGAGAGAGAGAGAGAGAGAGAGAGAGATTGTAATAAAATTTGTAAGTGGTTTACAAAGAATATTAACTCAATAAAGAAATAGTTAAAATAATTGAAAATCCTCCAAACTTTGTCAAACAGACCCAACCCCGGAACAGATATGTACATTGCTAACAAGCAATGGCATACCTCTTCATCCCATTCTTCGTGAGAGCATGGCAGCCATTTGGGCGCCGCGATCTCACTCCAATAACTCTGGTTTCTTAGGTACATCTCTGATGGCTAGTAAGACCTGTGTGCCATTTTTGGCGTTTAGCAGCTTTATTTTGCATTGTTCTGCATCACTTTTTTTAAAAAAAATCTTTTGTGGAAACCCCCCCCCCCCGCTTTGCTAAAAGATTTGAAAACGGTGCATTTTTTCTGCCCAGTGACGGACAACAGATCTCCCCTGTTTAAACAGAGAGGCAAAAAACATGAACCTTTGCCTCCTGCAGGAATATTGCTCCCTCCTTGTAAATAAAGCTGATGTCCCCAAGGCTTCAAAACACATTTGAACCAGGGCTTTTTTTCCGCCAGAACTCGCTGGAACTCTGTTGTGGCACCTCTCAAGTGGGCGCCATTGCCATTCTAAGAGAACAAGGGAGAGGTTCGTGGTGAGTTCCGGCACCTTTTTTTCTAGAAAAATAGCACTGATTTGAAGCAGCCCTTAATTTTAAGTCTTTCACAATGACAATGAATTGGCAACTTCTGTTTTCTTAATTAAAAGCAAACGTATAAAATTAAACACGAAGCGAAATAGAGTGAGTCCCTATCCATCCTAAAAAGGATTTAAAGCAGGCATGTCTAAAGTCCGTTTCATGTCCTTGGGTAAAAGGTCCAGAAAAGCTTAGCAACTTCAATCCCCAAAAAAGCAACAATTTTGGTTGGTACTCACACATGTTCACTTCATCAAATCTGGCCCTCTTTGAAAAAGGTTTGGGCACCCCGATAAAGGTTTTTCTGAATAATACTAGCGCTAGGGATTGCTCAATGTATGCAGAGTTCCTCTTCCCAAAAGCGTTGCAGGATTTTAATATCCTCTTTCATATTTCATATCGTCTATTACTCATAGTAATTAGCACTTCCTTGTCAGCTTTCCAGCTGTTACCATGTTAATGCCTCCTATTTGGCTCCCTGACTAGACGTATGACATGGTTTTCAGGCAGGAAGAGCTCACGGGCAGGGCTTGCCGAAATTTACCACAGATGAGGCATTTACGTTCCAGAAACTCATTCTCTGAGGATGATAACAGGTCTAAGATCTGATCGGAATATGGTGGCTGATGGATTTACTTCGATGCGTTTACCTTTTTTAACCAAATCAATTTTTGTTAAAAGTAAATCCATCAGCTGTCATTATTTAGATACATTGTGATCTTGTGAAGGGCAAGTTGTTTCTCAACTTCTACAGAAAGAACGGAAGCTTGTTTACAAGATGAACCAACACCAATGTGGGGCCTAAGGCGTAAGGTTTAGATAGATCTCCATTATCTGCTTTTTGCATCGTTCACCCATCTCAGCTCCCCACTAAGCCGCCAAGGGACTTCAACTAGCCACAAGCAAATGTAAACCCAATAGCAGTCTTCCTCTACTACACTGTCGATCTTGCTAACAATTAAAACCTTGGGGCTTGAGCGTGGAAAGCAAGAAGGAACGTAGCAGCTTACTCAGAAGCAGATGCCTTTCTTTTACACCAGAACTGCAACTGCAGAAGAGGAAAAAGGAGTCAAATGTGGTTTCCATAAATGAGAATGAATATAGTAATAATACTAGATGCTGGTTACTTCCTCCTATCTCACTCTACATGGAAACAAGACTAGGGCTGTGTAATTGCTATATATTTGAAGCCCGTTCCTTCCTTCAAAGAATTCTGGACACTGTAGTTTTACCCTACACAGTTTCAACACCCCCCCCAAAAAAAAAACCCATTAACAAACTACAGTACTCAGAATTCTTTGAAAAAAAGGATGTGGCTTAAAGTGTAGCATGTCTACAGCCCTATTTAGATGCAACTTACAAGTGTGTTTAAGTTTATAACCAGTTTTTGATTTTCAAAACACTTAGATCTGAAATAAATACAAAAAGTGGAGAAGCTTACTCATAGGGGTTTTTTTGTCTTTTGTATTTAGATTTCTTATAAATGTTGGTTTCCCTCAATCTGTAGCAGATAACTGTCCACACACACTGTGGCACATGCAGAACCAGCCCTGCTTAACAGGCAATGTGCAGCGTCCGGGCGAAGCTTCAGACAGCATCCTAATCACCAGAGGATGGTGGGAAGAACTCGGGAGTCAACCCAGGTGGCTCTTCGCCATTAAGAAGGCAACTACCAGAGCTGCAATGGTTTTGGAGTCAGGCTTCCTCTGTCTCTGAAGGGTGCCATTGCAATACACACCAGAAGGATTTTCCACCTCCCCCTATGAGGAAAGGTTCCAGCATTGGGGACTTTTCAGTTTAGAGTAAAAGCAAGTAAGAGGTGAAATGACAGACGTTTATAAAATTATGCGTGGAATGGAGAAAATGGATAGAGGAAAGCTTCCCCCCACTTTCTCATAACACAAGAATTCATGGACATCAATGAAGCTGGATGTGGGAAGATTGAGGTGATATGGAGGTACTTCTTCAAGCAACTGCATGTTTGAACTAGGGAGCTTGCTCTCAGGTGGCTTTAAAAGAGGACGAGATAAATTCATGGTTCAACAAATCAACAGCTACTAGCTATGACGGCTATGGGCCAATTCCTGACTGAACTTCCTGCTTGCAATGCAGCCAGCTTTTATGCTCTGGTGGTGGACCCGACTGAACACTGGCTCTGTCAGGTCCGTCGCTGAAGCAACCACTGGCCAACTAGAGCCATGACTGACCTGTTTTAAATTTCCATTTCCGGCAGGCAATCTCACTAGCTCCTGCGGCTGGCTGAGGCTGGCTGTGGCATCAGCTGGTTGTGAGGGCAGGTCCACCTCACCCACCTACCCCAGCTATCTAGCGACCAGGCTGCTATTGCTACCACCACCTGGAAAACAGGTGTGTGATCTTTCTGCTGTGAAGACAGGATGTTAGATGGGTCATAGCCCTGATCTAGCAGGCTCTTCCTATGTTCCCCCTTGCAACTGACATTTTTTCCCTGCACATGGATATCTGTTACTGGAATGAGGTGATAATGCCATTTAACGTCAGCAGTAGAATTATTACATATCGGTGTCGTGATGAATTACTGTTGTTCAACATTCATTTTCAACACATACAACATCTATCCTATAGCTGAACAAATTTAAAGCTGGAAGAAATAGGTTCTGGGAGTAGCTATACAAATATGCAAATAAGAATCTCACAAACGGGAGCCAGCTAATAAACTTGTCCTTCAGGGTGGAGTCTTAAAGAAGACTGAACTTTCTTGTGTGCCAGTTCTGCCTTCAGTGCTCGCAAATCAGAAGCTGCCTGCTTCCTCATCTAGGAAAAAAGATTCCAAGGTTGCAAAAGGAAGAATGAAATTAGAACCTTCGTCTTATTTTATAGATACAGTTCAACCTTTATGTGGATTAATAACCATTTCCTTGTTCTTTCATCTTTCAAGCCCAATGAGTTAAAGGATGAACCATTTTGGTTTGTTTCTGGCATATTAAGGTCACTAGTAATGGCAAACCCTAGTGTACAAATTACATCATATTCCCATTAATGAGAGTGGGAAATGAGGTGAAGAAATACCACAGATTGTACTGCAGATCTCAAAGTGGTATGTTTCTGTTCCTGTGATTTTTCTGACCACAAATTGCCAATTGTTGTTGTAGTATTATTAGAACAATACCATAAATGTACAACACATTTTAGAGGGTAGTATTAGGAAAAGAGGTCCCTGAGCTACATTTAGACTACTGAAAAGCACACACCATCTTGGTACTCCATGTTGGCAGGTACAATGTTTAAAGCAGAGATACTAAACATGTTTGGATCCCAGGCACATTTTGAATTTTGAAAAAGTGATACAGGCACAGCGGATGTGAGAAAACATCATGTTCTCTCCCACCCTGTGTCAGCTGCATGCAGCACTGTTTTCTGTTCCACTGCAATTCATCTTCTGCTGAAATCTACACTGTTCGTCTTGATGTCCGCTGTGGCAAAATTATTTGTGTATCCTATGCAATTACGCTGCCCATATGCTATTCCACCCATCATTTCAGTGCGAATGAAAGGCAAGATGAGTGGTTTGCTAATCAGTTACATGCCCTTTGCCAACTGAAAACAGCAACCACCACAGTGGACCCTGGTTGTATTTGCTGGTTCCAGACATGGGACGAACAAGTAAAAAGCTATATTGCTTTTCTATGTGGTGTAGGACATTCCCTGGTACAGCATCACAAACTTTCAGGTTCCTATTCAAAGAACAAGGGTTGCGTATTTGCTTTTTGAAAAATAGCCTCTCCTTCCTCCTTAGTGGAGTAGTGGCTGCTTACAGAAACACCGCTGCTATGGAAGCAAAGTTAAAGTTCAATGTTTTGGTGAACCAGATCTCAAATATGACCATGTGCTTAACTCCAGGGTGAACACCCTTTCGTCCTCAGCTCCATAGTGCAATGAACTCAGAATATGCCTACAGAACAAAAGCAACTTAAAAGCAAGATAAGTTATTTCCCTTGACCTCCAGCTCTCCAGTCTTAAGCTACTGAAGAGACAAGTGTGGTGTAGTGGGTGATGTGTTTGACTATGACTGGGGAGGTCCAGGTTTGATTCCTCACTTTGCTATGAAGCTCTCAATAAGCTATGAAGCTATCCCATAGTTACTTTTTCTCAGCCTAAGCTTTGTAAGAGTTATTCTGAGGATAAAATGGGGGATTAGGATGTATGCCACTTTAAACTCCTGGAAGCAAAAGTGTGACTTAAATGTTTTTTTTAAAAAAAGAAAAACACTAAAAGGTATGCTTGAGATAAAAATCTAAATATAATTCTTCACTTGGATATAAAACAAACTAGGCAAGTTAGTGTGTAATACCTTAATTTCTATGACAAGCTTCATTTTTGCATTATCAACCTTTCTCCTTAGTTGTTCAATTTCATGCTGCAGAGTGGTGATCTGGATTATTGTATTATTCTAGAAGAAACATCGTATAGATCAGAGTTAACATACATCCTGCACTTATTAATATCACTGTCTGTGCAAATCGTCCAAATCTGCATCTCTCCTTAAAATTATATGATTTAGTCCCTCAGCTCCTGTTGTATCACCTTCCTCCCAGAAACATATATAGTGCAGAACTTCAGGGCTATGTCTCATACAATTACTCAAATGGCGGACTGATTGGTCACATGGCAGGTGAGGCCATGGCCTCACTGTATTAACATAAAATAATGCAATTCTGCATGTGAATTTACTTCCATGCTTAGTTGGTACACACCTGGCAGACCTTGCTATAGCTGCCCTAGACTGACCCAAGCCCAGAATAAACTTGTCCTTCCCTTCTCCCCATGAGACTTCTATCTATTAAAAGGCACAAGTGAATTTCAGAGAGAGAGAGAGAGAGAGAGAGAGAGAGAGAGAGCTCATGTGCAGATATGGGTGCTTCCAACGTGAGTTATCTTCCTGTCCTCTCCACACCTCTTTGTTGTGAGAGGGCGTGTGCTGGACTCCATTTTGGGGATTGGGGTAGACAAGAGGCTATTTTCTTGAATCAAGGGATCCAGTTTTGTCTAATATTTCTCCGGCAAATGAAGGGAAATGGGCAAGGAATCTTGTGGTTTGTATTTTGATTGTACTGCCAGTTTTAGACTCTCCCATCTCCCCTTTTGATATCACACAGTTTTGAGTTTGAATCTGTGACTATATACGTAATAAAATTGAGTATTAATTTCTCCTTACAGCTATTATTTTAGGCAATGGTTGCATCTATCTATCTATCTATCTATCTATCTATCTATCTATCTATCTATCTATCGTCTATCTATCTATCTATCATCTATCTATCAGGTGGCTTTCTTTCACCCAAACAGAAGAGACAGTAGTCATAGATGTCACCTGGCATCACAGCTACTGCGCTTTGTAAAGGAAAATGGCAGCACCATTACCATAAAGGAAAACTAACACAACAAGTGGTAGCTGAAATGGTTGAAAATGAAGATAGAAAGCTGTGAGAAACTAAATCACAAAGTTCCTGGTGCTACTGTCTGTGTAGTAGCGAAAATGGTCAAGAATGTGTTTCCTTTACCCACTCAGAGTGTGCTCAGATAATCACATCTTTCTCTACCAGAATGAGCAAGAAAGAACACCAGCTCCTCGACTAAAATTCTAGAAAGTTCCAGAGTTCCTCCGTGCAAATGCAGAACTCAGTTGTGAGAATGAACAGAGCTGACAAAGATGTTGTCTTAACACATGATCAAAACCAGGAATGGAGAACCTGTGGCATTCCAGATGTTGTATTCTGATTCCCATCATCCCTGACCACTGGCAATGATGGCCGAGGCTGGTAGGAGTCCAACAGCATCTGGCAATCCAAAGACACCCTGTCACAGCTGTAAACAGAAGGTAATCTCAAGGGGGGGGATCATTCATGCCTTATAACTAGGATATATAACTGGGATAAATCTTGGTTTAAAAGGAAGATAACTTGAAAGATGTAAACAGGAGGAAGTTTGCTACATGAGAAAAGGCTGAGACACAAGCAAATCCTTTGGTTCTCAGAGTAATTAGCAGAACTGTGTTGATATCTCAAGGGCATGATTCATATGGGAAGGATTTAATTAACTTAAAACTGTATTCTCACGAGTTTCATTGTCGAGCCAGCGAGAAAGCTATTTTACACACACAAAACAATTTAATTACATATCAGAGTTGAATCAGGCAAGCAGTGTGTTATGTCAGTTCAAATTGAGGGGGAAAGAGCCTGCAGAGAAATTTCCATCTTTCCTGTTTGTAAAGCTATGATTTTTGGCAAGGCCATGTTGTTACAATGCTATGTATTAATTTACATTTCATCTAGTTTGGGGGACTTCTCTCTGTCTCTCTCTATTGCCATTATAGTATTTGTCTTCTAGTGCAGGTCACTATCAATTTCCATTATTTTCACATTCTAAACACAATACCTTGGTACAGAAAAGCTTGCATGGGCAACCTGTGGTCCTTCTGAAGTTGTTGGACTTCCATCAACCCCAGCTGGCATGGTCAATGGTCAAGGATGAAGGCAGAGAGCTGTAGTACGACAACATCTGAAAAGCCACAGCTTGCCCATCCCTGTAGCTGTACCTGACTACCCAGGTAAGTGTATGTTTAGGATCATGGCTTGAAAGTTAATCTGCATGGATATCATTTTCCTGTGCAAAAGAAAAACAGTCTGATACAAATATTCCCGATGAGCGTGTTCCATTACGGAATTGAGCCTTTGAGATATAAAAAGTAGCTCAATTTAAATTATACAGGCAGGGATTATGTCAGATTAGTGAAGGAAATTATTAAACTCTCTTCTAGGGTTATTATAAAATCTGAAGAATACTTATCTGTCTAAATGGCATGAAGGAGCTTTGATTTTATGGAAAGGGGAGTAAAGACTGAACAAACAGCATTTACCTTTGAATTAGCAACCTGTGTTAAATTATTTCGTTTTTTCCTTATATCCCTAGCTTCTAGCTGCATCAACAATTTCTGGTAGTGAAGTTCTAAATCTTCCCGCAATTTATTTGAAACTTCCTCCAAGGAAGCTGTGACTTTTTTAGCTTCAAAATATTTCTTTTTCCAGGAATCACGAGCTGTATGGGGGAAACCAGAGCACAGATCAAAACGATATTCTCAATGGAGCAAGTCTATTCAGGTTTTCAGACCCTGTTCAGTTCAGTGAGGCTTAGTCCTAGGAAAATACAGGATTGTAACTTAAGAATCAGAATAGTAAGCAATATTGCTCTGTTCGAACATAAACCAAAAATATTAAGAGTTGAAAACATTGTATAAATTTTAACATGCTAGGACAAGTGCCATGGCTTTCATACAGTACTTAAAAAAGATTAGCTGTACTCTAGCATGTGGAAACCCAAACTCTCGAATGTGTGGTTTGCAGGAAGGTATGAGGCTCCGCTTTAACAAAGATAAAGAAGGGGTATAAACTGAGAGACATCTAAGAAATGGTCCAATTCTGATGGAAACCAGGGTGCTAGATGGCACACTGCCATGGAGGGGGAAGCAAAAGCAAACCCACCTCCAACAATGATGCTATCTTCTAGCTTTGCTAGCTCCTCAGTCCTCCACCACCTCCACTCAAGCAGAAATAAAGTTATTCCTCCTTCACCTTCTTTATTCCCTGGGCTCTGTCCCTTGACCTGTCAAAACCCACTAAACCACACCCGCGACCAGCCAAAAGCTACCTGGGTTTTTATATACATAAAGCAGCTATGCTTTGTCAATGTATCACTTGGACTTCCCTTTTTCCAAGACATTGCTTTGGTGACTCCCGAGACAGTGGAGGCCAATGCAAAAACTGCCTGTTCACCTAAGTACAACTTTTAAAAAGCAGAAGGTGGGGTGGAGGGGGGAGACTTCGCCGTTCGGTTTTTTTCTGGCAACTGGCCTAAAACAAAACAAAACAAAAACTCAGGAGGTGGGTGTGGGTGTGTCGATAACAACCTCACCAGATATCTCAGCCTAATAACACATACCCTGGTATCTCCTGAGTTTGTTCTGTTCCAGTAAGCTTCTCACTTTTTTAACCAGCTCTTCTCTAGCCCTCTCCAGGTGCTTTCGTTCTGCCTTGACATGTTGCAGCTGTCTGATCAACTCACTACCTGAGGAAAAGAAACCTCAAGATTAGTATACTTGTGCTGGTTAAAAAATGCAGAAAGCCCAGGATAAATAAATCTGAGACAGGAGCGCCTCCGAGAAGAACAGAAGCCCGGGTCTACAGAAAGATCTGCAGTATTTTAGGGGTCTTTGGTGTGGCAATTTGGAGCATCAGATCCCTGCCTGCCTCCCAAGATCCAGGCACACAGCCCACACTAACATTCTGCCCGTTTCTGTCCCGTACAAGATGCTAGTGCACAAAACTCCACACCGTATGAAACAAATCTTTCTCTGTGACTTTCCCCTTCACGTACCTCAGACATACCATCTGAAGGTGTCACTGCAGCAATTCCTCTTGAGGGGTGGGAAGGGAATTTTAAAACTTGCAAACACATATTGTGTTGCCCAGGCTTTCCTCGATGAATACATTTCCGCCAGGACGGTAATGTTTTAATGCTTGTATTTTTGCATAGAGATTTTGAATATTCAGTGTTTTAGAAATGCTTTTAAATAAACAAAACGATGCCTAAACGCCTAGAGATTAATGAGACCAGGCATGTCTACTGGGAACCTGCCACTGCATAGCTCCTGTCAAAAGCAGAAACCGTGCAACATATGAGCAATTACAAAAAGTCTGCACTACTCCAGAGAGGTGTTGTGGCTAGTTGGACTAGGACCAGGGAGACCTGGGTAACCTACCAACCTCAGAGGATTGTTGTGAGATTGAAATGAGGAAGGGGAGAACCATGTATTGACATGGTTGAGTTCCTTGAAAAAATAGTGCTCTATATACCATATTTTTCCATGTATAGCACGCTCCCATGTACAAGACGTCCCCTGTTTTTGGGGACTCCAACTTGAGAAAATGGGGGGGGATTGTATCTGTGTATAAGACAACCCACAATTCTGAATATAATTTTTAAATAAAAAACCCTAGTCTTATACATGGAAAAGTACGGTATATATACTGTATGTGAAATAACAAATATAAGTTCTATGGGGATTGTGCTAATTGTATAACAAAACACTTCGTCTGTGATGTGACACAGATGGCTGGATTAATTTTAATGATGTAAAAACTGAATTAAGCCAAATTATCCTCCCTCAGGGGCACTCGGTCAAAGGAAAGGCAAGCACTGAGGTTGGGATTAGTGTCTTTGGAACATGCTGGCAATGACAAGTGACTCCTTAGAGGCTCCCCGACAACGGTGTTTGCTTAGATAATGCATGCCCTGGGGTCACTTATGTTTCAGCAAACTCTTCCTCCTACTTCATAAGAGAGCCAGGAAAAGCCTGATGCTGTTAACTAATGCCATTTTTAACTACCGAGTTGTTGCACACCCTCAAAAATGAGAGTGGTGAGAGGGGTCCTAGCGCATACTTTGTACTTGGTTTCCTTGGAATGAAGGTCCCTAGAGAATTGTCGTTTTTGTGTGTGTGTTATAAGGTTTATCTACACACATGTATAAGCAGAGAATGAGATTCAAGGCTTTTCCTGCTTTTCCCATTAGGTTTCCAGAGGCTTTGATTTCTGTCAAGTCATATTCACACCATACGTTGAAAGAACATGGCTTCCCCCCAGAGAATGCTGGGAAACATAGTTTACCCCTCACAGAGCTTCAGTTCCCAGCACTCTAAACTATGAATGTAAGACAGTGATCTCAATCCTGACCTAGCTTTTTCGCAATCCGTTTCCATTCTGCTGCAGTTTGGCTTCTGCTAAAACCAACATTTGTTAATCTTACTATCCACTATGACTGAAACTAATTACATAATTAATTCCAGTACATTTCAGTGCTGCATTTCCAGTACATTTCAGAAACAGCAAAAACAATACAGAAAACAGTGTAATTATTTATGTGACGTTTATGGACTGAAAAGCAGCAGCGAAAACTGCTCGTATTCGCTTGTGAGATTTCCGTGCCTGATCTCAGATGAACATGTGAATTAGGAGTGACTTCTGCTGTTGTTTCCATTTCCAGCAGAATTCTGTGACATCCCTACCATTAACTATGGTGCCCAGGAAGGTGTGCTTTCAATGTATGGTGTGGATGTGTGGGTCTCTTGCTGTCAATCTTTGTTCCCTTTTGCAGTCAGGCATGATCTCGCTAGGTTACGGGGGGAAGACTTTAACCCCATAAGATCTCTTAGAACGATTTGCTCACCCTCTGTTGGAAAGATTCCGCTGGGAACTTCAGCTCTGTTTACAGACAGAGCCAGAAGAGGTGGAGTAGGAGGCGAAATATACTGGCTCAGATGTGCAAAGTCATTTAGGTTATTTTCATCAGCCTAGGGACCAAATGAAAAGGCATGTCAGCTTTTGCTGCCTTCCCTACAGTACATGAAATTGGAGAGTCTATTTATATCAGTCTTAAAAGGAAGGCTAACTCAAGTGACCTTTTAGTGGAAAACAATAGTTACCTTCAGGGAACCCTGTCTGTCTAGGAATCCATATGCCTCTGCCACTGATCTCTGAACATTGCAGAGTATCGAGGGCATATTTCATGGCATGCACCTGGCCCATGTGTTCTGATGTACAAGCAAGCTGAACTTCAGCATTGCCCCAGATAGTGGGGTAGGAGAGCTGAAAATAATGCCAATATATTTCACATCTGCCAATCCATGAGCTGCTTTGGTTTCAGATAGCACATGAGTACACAAGTCTAAAAGCCAGGGCCACAAAGTTTCATGGCCCTCTAGCAGCTATTGTGGCTCGGTTACCCGGAGTAATGTATTTAGTGTTACCTTTACCTGGAAGTGTATACTAACCAAACTAAACCTCCTAGGATTATTTTTTAAAATACAACCCAAAAATGCACTATATTGGGGTAGATTATTTGCAAAATATGTACATTAGCCAAAACAGGATATTTCACCCTCAAATGTTTAAGGATTTTCATGAGGATTTATGTCTCAAAAAATGTGAATTGCTGCAGAAACGTGGAAAACTGAATTTAATATTTTATAAAAATGAAAAACTGAGAGAACCAAAATTTACATAGCCCTCCGTTCTTATTTCCAACTAAATATGTATAGACTTGGTCTACTCCTTGGTACTTTGGTACTGAATATATCTCTGTGCATGTGTACATATACATACATACGCAAACATTATAAACCCACATGCATCTCCAATTGCTTGTAGCATATGTGCTACTTCAGACGTATGGCAAAAGCGCTTGTTTCATGAGCATTTGTCCAAGAGTGGGTAAAAGTTATTCTGCTTCAACAACGAAATCTTATTGCAATCAACAATCCAAAAGAAAAGAAAAACGAGCTCAAGTTACTGAAACGATTTCAACCAATTTCAACTACCTTATTTATTTATTTATTTTGCTAGGCGTTTGGCAACATACCTGGCTATCTTGCACGCTACCAGTGTCAGCAATAGACTTGGCAATTCCAGGATGCTGTTGGCTAAAGATGAAATTAAAGCACAGTGCAATTACATTAGAAACAATAAATAATTTCAAGGTGCTGTTGGCTAAAGATGAAATCCAAGTGCAGTGTAGTAATTACATTAGAAACAAACCACCTTAATTAAATTTGTTTAAAAGGCTGGTGGGATCTAGCAAATATAGAGTGCTGGGGTGGCAGATTACCAATCTGAAAACGGGGTGCTGAAATTAGGGCGCGGCAGCTTGCTGGTAGCCAACTGGACCGGTAGCAAACATTCCATGGAAGCGCTAACCTCACACACAGGAAATGAGTTGAAGAGAACAGGTTCACAGGTTTAATTATATTTGTCTGAAAACTAATTAAAGTGTTTGCTTTTTTCTCCATTATCCAACATGTTGGGAGCCCTTAATGCAACTTTAATGAAGGGCAGCTAATACTGTCACCATGACAGCTTGTTTATTTCAAGTGTTTTTAGCCTTTATCACAAAGATATATAAAGAAATTTCTCTGTTTCGTTACCTCCTCATTCTGTGTGAATAGTCCATGTCTCTCTCCTCCAATGATTCTGGGATTCCAGAATCCCCTGTGGTGTGTCTTCCCATTCCAATTCCTGTCAGGTTACCTTCGTTTTCTGTATTTGCATCCAGCGCAATAGGAGCTTCTTCTACATCAGAGGTCGAAAAAAATTGTTTAGCTGTTTTTAATGGTGTGTTTTAATGTTGTAACCTGCCCTGGGACGTTAGGGTGTAGGGCGGGTAATAAATAATACCTAATATTAAATAATATTTCTGTTTCTATATACATGTTTTTATTTCTGCCATCCACCGCCAGAAGCAATGGCTTGGCGAAAAAAATGAGTGTGTACAGATTCTGAGCATATCCGCCTGAAGCAAAAAGGGAAATTATCAATGCGAAGTCAAGAATGCCAGTTGGCTCACAGGCAGGATACAGAAGGAAGACCCTGAGATGAAAGAAAAATCTAAGGGCAACTGCCAGTGTGTTTTAATAAAAACGTGTCCAGCCCTATCACACAGGAGATTGTAAAATGTAGAAAACGGGAGGCAATCTGGACAAAAGTGCGTATCAGCCGACGAGCACAATACATTTCCCCTTTCATAAACTGCTGGAGTTTGCAATGTCCAACCATTTCAAGTTTCTATTTTTTTCATCTAGGTTAGGATTGGTGTCACTCCTGGCTTCTAATTAGGCCTGATGCAAGCAAGCGGATCTTATCACCTAAAGAACCACCAATGTTTACTACCGAAAAGCTGTCCTCATGTGACTTCTGGACCAGTTCCGCAGATCGCTGAGCTTTATTAAATAGTTTAATGCAAATTACTGTAGTTTTCCGTGTATAAGACACCCCCGTGTATAAGACGCCCCTGTTTTTGGGACTCCAAATGGGGGGAGATTGTCAAGAGTTGTTAAGGTTTTCTTTGTGGGGGGGGGAGGTGCCAAATATTGCTCAGCTGCCTCATTGCCACTGCCAATCCCACGCGTCGCCAGAGCCACCAATCGTCTGCCCGCTCGCCGCCAGCAGCCACCAATCACCCGCCCAATTGCCACAGCAGCAGCCAATCAATAACAGCCCTTACAGCAGCCACCGATCACATGCCCAATCACCGCTGACAATCTCCTGCTCGCAGCTGCTACCAATTGCCCGCCACCCCCCCGCACTATCCGTGTATAAAAGGTAAAGGTACCCCTGCCCGTACGGGCCAGTCTGTCAAGACTCTAGGGTTGTGCACCCATCTCACTCTAGAGGCCGGGGGCTAGCGCTGTCCGGAGACACTTCCGGGTCACGTGGCCAGCGTGACGAAGCTGCTCTGGCGAGCCAGAGCCGCACACGGAAACACCGTTTACCTTCCCGCTAGTAAGCGGTCCCTATTTATCTACTTGCACCCAGAAGTGCTTTCGAACTGCTAGGTTGGCAGGCGCTGGGAGCGAGCAACGGGAGTGCAACCCGCCACGGGGATTCGAACCGCCGACCATGTGATCGGCAAGTCCTAGGCGCTGAGGCTTTTACCCACAGCACCACCTGAGGCTTTTACACCACAGCACTATCCGTGTATAAGATGACCCCAAATGTTTAACATTATTTTCTAATTAAAAAACCTTGTTTTATACACGGAAAAATACGGTTAAGTGCATTATTTATTAAATGCTTTCATGCAAATCAGAGGGTTGGGATTCAGATTGGCTATTCCGTAAATGGAAGGCCTCCTTCTGTTGATGGAAAGCTCTCAGATCGCGTGGAAGTTCCTCAAGTAGAGGAAGGTGGGAGGCAATCTTTGCTTATTCCTCTGCCCCTTGGAATCCTGCATGGTGCCTCTCATGCTGTTCCAGGTGGCTGCCCGAATCTCCAGAGCAGCTTTTTCAGATACATTTTTTTAAAAGAAATGCTAATGCAAAATACAAATAAACTTTAAATGGAGTGCTTAGTGGAGCAATGCATACCTTTTTTCTTCTGTGTGATGTGATTGACTTGAATCTGGTTGTTTCCCTCTTGCCCTCGGTTCTGATTCATACGCAAAGGTGCAACAGAATCTTTGTATTTCTTGACCTTTCTAGGAGTATTTTGCTGCCGTTCTCGAGCTTGGCTGAAAGACTTTTGCTGAGGAATTTTCACCGATGTGGATTTTCTTACGGAGTTTTGTCTCTCAGAAATTTTATCTTGGAATGTATAGGGAGATTTAATGGATTCCTTTAGCTCTCTGTTACAACTAATTTCTCCTGGAGGCGGCACATAATTATATATTAGGCTATATATACTTATGAGAGTTGTGTTAAGTTGTATATTTATCACATATTATTATAAATAATCATATTTAACTATAATAGTCATGTTAACGTAAGTAACGTGAACTGCTTTATGCACAGTTTGAACTTTTTTTTGGTAAGCCACTTTAAGTTTATTTTATTTCTAAGAAAGCTGGGTATAAATTTTCAAAGAAATATATACCCATTAAATAAAAATTAAGGGTTTTTTTTTGGTAACAAGTGATATTGTTGGAACCTTTGTTAAATTAAAAAAGCAAATGTTACATATGCCACAGTCTAGGTAGGACCAAAATACAAATAAATATCAGGAACTCATATTGCAAACAAGTCGTTCTGATTTGATTTCCTGTCCCCCCCCCCGAAACCTTAATTTTGAACGAAACCAGTCCAGACATATGATTAAGTGAACAAGGAAATGGCAGTTGTGGCAAATGAAGTTTCAGGGAAGAAAAACCTGATGGAACCCAAACTCTAGCAAAACTGTTAACACCAAAAAAGCACAAAACCAGATTAGTAGATGGGAATCCTACTGCTAGCATCATCAATACAGACAATGAAATAATGGCCAGGTTAAAGATGCTTAATCTCCCTCTCAAATAAGGTATGGTGGGGCAGAGGGAGAGATCATTTGCCCTCTCCTGACACAACAGGCTCCAAGCCTCAATTGTGGAGAAATAAATTAAAACTATGCTTTCCTCCTCATGTTGAAAACTCCTCATGGTTTCAAACAAGGTATAACTTGTCTGATCTTAATATGAAGTGCAGCTCTTGCTGGAGGAGAAATAATTGAAAACTATTTTTTTTAAAAAAATCAGAGGAAAAGAAATATTTGTGCTGTCCTTGCAATTTGACCTGAACTTGGTTGTTATAGCAATTAAGCAGCCTTGATATATCTCACCTTCCCTTCTTTGTGAATTATATTTCTCTTTAATCCTTTCGTTCTGTTCTTGCTTAGAGATCTGTGTTGCAGGGAGATCTTGAGCACTTCCTTTTTCAGTTCCGTCCCATCCTATTAAATTATTTTTATCCTGAGTTGGGCTGAGATGTTTCAAGGAACTCTCCAAAACGTTGGGGTTCTGGCCAGCTTCACGATCTGGAGCTGATACGTCAGGTGGTCTATGATATGATGTATATGCACGTATATAGTCTGCATTGCTGTGATGTCTTTCTGGAGTTGACGATGAAGATGAATAAATACTTTCTACTCCAGGCAACAAATAAAGTTCTGGATGAAATGCCTGAAATGTACAGCAAGTTAATCTGAAATAAATAATATATTTTTAAATAACATAGCTTTGCTTTTACACGAAAATTGATGTAACAATATACGTACATAGGGAGGAGCAAACGATTTGAGCTTCAGTTCTGTTTCTTGCTTTGCTTTCACCTTGGAAGTTAACAACAGAAACAACGTTATCAAAACAGGATAGTGCCATACCATTCAATTTGTATAGCATCTTACATTCCTGAAAGCCAGAATATAACATTTTTAAAAAATGCTATACTCAAAACTTTTGTGAATAATGGAAAACACAGAATATCTATCTTGGGAATTCGGCTAGATAGTTATGCCATTTTTTATTTACAAAGGCTTATAAATTCTTTTTCACTTTGGTAGTTTTATTTTTATTGTTTTATTGCATCTGTCTGTTTTTAGCTAATTTCTAATAATTTTTTTATAAAGTGTTAGGCTCAGAGATGCCCTTCTGCAAATGGGTTGTTCCATTTCTGGCAGGGAATGCGATTCAGCAAAAGTGTCTGAACCATCTTAGATCACTGCTCCCTTAGGATTGCTCCATTAATCAACCGATAAATCAATTAATTAAATCTCATTAATCACCTAAGGTTCCTTCAGTTGTGTGAACGCCTTTAGAAGTAACATAGAAAATGCTGCTATAAATTTGGCTGCCCTTATTATTATTCTGAATTTATATGATCAGAGGTTTATCAAAAGTACTAAATGGTCCATAATGATTCCAGCCTTCAGAAAGTCACACTCATCAGTGTTAATGGGGAGGCACAAAAAGAGTTTTAGAAGCAAGTTTTGGCAGTTTTGAATCTGGATAGAAAAAGGGAAAGAGCGCCAAGAGCACTTGGAGTTTATAGATAAGCTGACTAAAACAGAAGTATATTTGGGGTGCAATTTTTCTTTTGAGAGCTAATAGAGAATTGGTGGTTTTGCTTTAGAAGTCTGTCTTTATTACTTTCTCCTTATAAATAATAAACTGTTATAAAATCTCTCATTCTTGTGCTACCTCTGGACTTCTCACAGGGGAGTTGGAAGTACATAACAATATAAAAAGATGCTTGTTTAAAACCACACCAGATTTTTACCGTGAAGGGTTGCGGTTCATTAAAAGAAAAGCATGTTGCTTAATTTGAATGTCACTTAACTTTAATGGCTACAAAAAATAAGGCTGCTGATTCCCCTAAAATAAAAGCAACATGTCTTTACAGAGTTCAAGTATCTCTTCTCTTATTAGAAAGAAGTATCTCTGGGAAGAGATTAAGGCGCTGTTGGGCAACGGTAGAACTGGGAAATTCAGCAAATGTTTGTTCACATGCGTATAATTACATATAATTGCTCTGACCGCTCAAATATTATAAAACAACGTCAACCTTTCCTATCAAGTAAATCAAAAGGGTGTTTTATACCATTTGTACAAGGGCTTTTTGAAACGTACAAAAAACTGGGGAAAGACCAAAACAATATACATAGTGATTTCCTAAAGATATAGCATGGGCTCCTTACAAACTATAGTTTGTAAATTGGGAACAGGGTTTGAGAATACAGTGGTGCCTCGCAAGACGAAATTAATTCGTTCTGCGAGTTTTTTCGTCTTGCGAATTTTTCGTCTTGTGAAGCACGGTTTCGGAAAAGTTTTGGAAAAGCTTCAAAAATCACCAAAGTCTTCAAAAACCTCAAAAAAGGCTACCACACCGCGTGCTATGAGTTGCTCCTCGAAGTCAAGTCGCAACTGTATTAACGGTTTTAAGAAAAAGGAAACAAACTTGCAAGACGTTTCCGTCTTGCGAAGCAAGCCCATAGGGAAAATCGTCTTGCGAAGCAACTCAAAAAACCAAAAACCCTTTTGTCTTGCGAGTTTTTCATCTTGTGAGGCATTCATCTTGTGAGGTACCACTGTATGCACTCCCTGCTCCCTAATTCCTCCCCACACCTTCCTAGAATCCCCCGCTGCATCTTCTTGTTGGTCTTAATCATGGTTTGATTATAATGCCTGCAGTGAAACTAACTAATTCCAATATTGATCTGGATTTGAAACCAAGGGTTGAAGCAGCTTTGAAAATCTTGGTTAAGATGGAACCGGATTAGTGTTAGCCTTGGTTAACATCACAGCAGATGTAACACTACAATATGAAAAGACAGCTGGCAAGTGAAGGAGGGCTTGCACTGAAGGCGTCAGGAGGAAGGGAATGAAGTACATGTTCCTGAGGCTGGCTCCCAGTCAGCAAACCATAGTTTCCAGAAACACAGTGACTCGTATCCAAAGAAAATGGGTCACATTTCTTACAGAAATCAATGGGACAAGTAGGTCATGACTAGCTTATATTCCAGCTATTTCACTTGGACAACGTATGAATCGCTTTCTCTTGATAAAACCCAGTGCCTTCATCACGTTTGTTGGGAATACCAATGACTGTGTGGGTAACTTTTGTAGTTATTTAAATATTATGACACTAAGCTTTTCTTTGTCCTTAGCAGAGCAGTTAAAACTTGATTTGATTCTGTAAATACAACTGAGAGATTTGCAGTAGAGAGAAATATGTTTGGAGAAGAGAAGAGCTGTGACAACCATCTACAGTAGGCTTTCCAAGCTACGCACTCTGCACACAGGCAGATCGTGCACTTGAAAGAACCATCTCATTTTCTTCATGGTTGCGTCTTTTATTAGTCTTGGCACGGAAAAGAATTGGGGCAGTAAAAAAACAAACGGGAAAGCAAAACAAATTCCAAACCTCTTTGTCAGAAAGGCTTCCAGCAGCTCAAAGGGAAATAAATGATTAAAACTTGCAATTAGACCATTAATTTTCCTCTGAATTACTACTCTCCGCTATGTCAGCTATTAAGATCAAAACATTAAGAGTGCTTTTAAAATTGCCGAGCCTTTTTACATGGGAGGTCTATCTCATTGCATTCGTGGGAATTTACACTGTTAAAGGTGAAATGAAAGTGAAAGCGAGAGGCATTTTTGCAGAGAACAAAGATGGTGGACAACGTAGTTTCCAAGTTTGCTTTGCAGGCCAGTTAACAGCAGGACTCTCTTAAAGAACCTAACACCCGTAAGGTTCCACTCAACTAAGTTACACTCAGGGTGCTGCAATACAACCTATTTAATAAGCATTCATTTGGATTTGATTGCAGATGTCGCCAGCTACTTTATGAGTGTTCGCCCTGATTTGCTCTTGGGGAGATTACGCAGGCGTTGCATCAACCAAGCATTATCTCACACTTTCCAGTGCATTTTCCTATTATTTCCTTATCACAAAAAGAAACAATGTTTTGGGGAAGCAGGTTTGCTTTGCAAGAGCTCCAAATTGGCTCTAACTGCATAACCTGATGTCTAGGGGGCTTAGTTTGGTCAGAATCGAGTACTCACTGTCAGGGTTAACGCTAAATACATTACTTCTGGTAAATGAGCCACCTTTACTGCTAGAAGGCCGTGAAAATTTGTGTCCCAGGCTTTTTGGATTCATCTACCCATGTATTATCTGAAACCAAAGGGGCGCATTGGTAGCCAGATGTTATTTTTTTTAAGCTCTCCTACCCCACTAGATCAAACCTATCCATTCTGAAGGAAATCAGCCCTGAGTGCTCACTGGAAGGACAGATCCTGAAGCTGAGGCTCCAGTACTTTGGCCACCTCATGAGAAGAGAAGACTCCCTGGAAAAGACCCTGATGTTGGGAAAGATTGAGGGCACAAGGAGAAGGGGACGACAGAGGACAAGATGGTTGGATAGTGTTCTCGAAGCTACCAGCATGAGTTTGACCAAACTGCAGGAGGCAGTGGAAGAAAGAAGTGCCTGGCGTGCTCTGGTCCATGGGGTCACGAAGAGTCAGACCCGACTAAACGACTAAACAACAACAACCCCACTATTGTTATATTTAAGGTTGTGGGTTCAAGCCCCATGTTTGGGAAAAGATTTCTGCATTGGTTAGACTAGAATCAGAGGTAGGCAACCTTATCCAAGGATGGGCCGGTCAACACTCTGTCCGTTGGAGGATGGGCCGGAGCGTGTGCACACGGGCGCTCTTCCGGGTTGGAGGAGCGCCTGTGCACATGCACACACACTATTTCCGGCGCTCCTTCAACCCGGAAGTGTGCCAGAAATAACGTGTGTGCATGTGCATGGGCGCTTCCCCATCCCGCACACATGCACACATGCTATTTCCGGTGCACATCCAGGTCAGAGGAGCGCCCGGGCGCATGTGCACAGGTTCCATCAACCCGTTGGTCCCCGCGCCAGTAAGAGTGGCCAGCGGGGGGCGACAGGGATCACCATGGGCCGGTTAGACAAGCCTCGTGGGCTGCTACCAGCCCATGGGCCTTAGGTTGCCAACCCCTGGACTAGATGTTCCTCATGGTCCCATCCAACTCTATGGTTCATATTCTTACAAGCTCCCTGCTTGTGAGTGGCAGTTATGGCAGTTACAGAATTTTAGAAATGCAAGCCATGATCAAAATTGCACGTGACAGGAGAGACCCATATAATGTGGACTTCTCCAAATATTCACCTCCTCATGACTTCAAATTAAACTTGTGGTGTATAGTGTAAGGGCAGCCACGCAGGAAGATAAAGCCAAAACTCTTTTTGGCATCTACAGCCCATGAGCAAAGGAGCCTACTGGACTGTGACCAAAAAATGCCTAATTTAAAAAAAATAATCTCCACCTGCTTGGTTTTATAACTCTTTATTTTGAACCAGGGAGAAAAAGAATCACATTTTTCCCCTGACTGCCACTACATGAACTTGAAATGTTAATTGGGAACATTTGAAAATAAGCATACAGCTCTTCTCGATAACCCAGAAACACAGAAGAAACTTACCACTGCAAGTTTCTTCCCTATACATTTTAGGAAGATATACTTATCCACAACTGCATCTTCACCCAGGTAGTCTCCGAGCTGCTCTCTTAATGTTCTCAATGTCATATAAGGTGGCACCCTAGAATACCAGATTACATTACTGCAGAGACATGATTGATATATTTGTTTTGGAAGTGGGTGTATAAAGGAAATGTACATTAATTACATGCCACAAAGATCTAATTTTACCTCCAAAAGCTCACACTGATGACTTAATCCTTGAACATTAACTTTTAGAGCCCTCTGGTGCCAAGGTGGGTTTTCTTGTGCACAAACAATGAAACATTTATTTTGTGATAACAAATAAAATCTCCAAGGTGCCAGAAATCTCTTTATTCACATGATTCATCCATGTCAGGCTCTGTTAACATTGCAGCCGAAACTTCTAATTTCATGCGTAAGATCTTAGTTAGCAAGACCGATGTTCTAAGCAGTTTCTCAGATAATTAAGGCAGGAATTTTCTTCATTATAAGATAGCATTGTATTATAATTCATAATGCTAGGAATGAATAACACTAATAGGACATTAATAGTTTCTGTGATCTATAGATAAGTAACTATTAAAATTCCCTATGATCTTGGAAATGTAACTAGGTGGGTACAAGTTTCTGAACTTAGTAAGGCGATTAACCTGAAGATAATATGACTCTTGCCTAATTTAAAGTTGTCGACATTTTCTACAGTGATTGCCAACATCCTTTCCCACCAATATGTCTGGTATTGAAGGAGTGCACTTTACACAGAAGAACACTAAACACTTCTGCACAATAGACCTGAACAACCATTACTTATTTCCAGTAAAATCTAGGAATTGTAGTCAGGGTTGGAAGAGAAATTTGACTCGGTACTCATTTAAAGCCAAATCTATCAAATTGGCTCTTTCTGAAACAACGCAAAACAAAACACAACTGTCCTTCAAAATTCATACTTATCTGAATATTGCCATCCAGTTCTTCAATCAGTGTTTACAAAGATATATATATATATATATATATGGGGAAAGTGTGCATAGAAATGTAATTAGTGAAAACAGCATTCAGAAATGCATTATATTTGGGGAAGTACTTGCAAAAATGTGTATAAACTGCATGTAAAAAGGCGTTTATTAGGAAAAATTAACACTAAAATGCTGGTGAATTTTCATGAGGACTTTTAAAAAACATAGAAATAACAAATTGCTGAAAAATGTGGAGAACTGAATTTCAGACTGGGGAAATGAGAAACCGAGAGAACCAAAACTGAGATCTTTGCATCCCTGATTGTAGGTGGCTGAGAAAAGGGAGAGTAGCGATCACTAACAGAAAATAAGCAGAACCTCATAAACTGAAATTTTCAGGATTCTTGGCGGCAGGAGCCCGAGAGCCAGAGGAGTCTGACTTAAATGGTTGGGGCAAGTTGCTCCTCTTGTTTGAACCTGAACTCTAGTTTCTAAAACCTTAACGACAAAACTTTCCAATACAATGAATATAACACACATTTTATCGTAATCTCCTAGGTGGTATGCTGAAATCAGGAGCAAAGCTGAAGAGGAGCTCCTAGACTCTGTCCCTTCCTGTTACTTGTCCAGTCAAAACCCTTCTTCCCAGAAGCTCATTTCTCATTAAGGAGAGATAAGATACAAGAAACCCAAATCTTTTCCCCTCAGGGAGAAAAGCAGCTTGAGGGTGGTTTTGAGAGGACAAATGATTGAAAAACCCCTCCCCTCCCTTTGAGTAATTTGGCTGCTTTCCATTTTACAAAAGAATTGATGGAAGAATCATGGAAGCTTCCCAGCATACGACAATTGGCTTTTAGAAAACTATACCGCTTATATAATGGATAAATTGCTACTAGAACTGCTACGCTCAAAGGCAGACCCGACATTTACTATTCCAACTCACCTTATAAATCCCGCCGAAAAAAATTTGCTGGCAACATCTACAGGAACTGTATTCAACTTGAAATTCCACACGTCTTCCGGAACGTAAAAAACGTGAAGCTCTAAAAGCTAAATGCATTAAAATAAATATTTAATTTTTTAAAAATCTTATAAGCAATTAGTATGGACGAACTAAATATGCAAAGGGACAACCCAAACCCCCAATCCACCACTCTGGAGGGGCTTTAGATGGGGTGGAGGTTTGGACTGACATGAGATATCTTTGATTTCTTATACACACAAGTCCTGTAACAGGAGGGAACTATTAATGGTGTGTTTGTTTGTTTGTTTAGTCAAACACTATGTCTACCGGGATGACAGAAACTCTGACATGGTAACAAGACACAATGAAACTGAATAACTACTGTTAAAGGTTTGGCTATCAGATTTCTGCAACTGGCCTGCTTGGCACTTAATGCTAATCTAAGGTGGTTGGGGCAGTGGAATGCGCTGTTGGAATGTTTAAACTACATGCTTCCACATGTATGCTGTACGCTTCCACACTGCTCAGGGAATGGGGGCAAGCTTAACATATTGTGGTGATCAAAAGTGGCTTCAGGTAGGATGAAGCTGTCCTAGTTTTGCTCTTGAACTTAGACAAGAGCTTCCCCTTCCCCAATATCTAGCACTGTTATCCATGTTTGACTGACTACTAAGTAAAGGTAAAGGTAAAGGGACCCCTGACCATTAGGTCCAGTCGTGGACGTCTCTGGGGTTGCGGCGCTCATCTCGCTTTATTGGCTAAGGGAGCTGGCGTACAGCTTCCGGGTCATGTGGCCAGCATGACTAAGCTGTTTCTGGCGAACCAGAGCAGCACATAGAAACGCCGTTTACCTTCCTGCTGGAGCAGTACCTATTTATCTACTTGCACTTTGTGTTTTCGAACTGCTAGGTTGGCAGGAGCAGGGACCGAGCAACGGCAGCTCCTCCCGTTGCAGGGATTTGAACCACCGACCTTCTGATTGGCAAGTCCTAGGCTCTGTGGTTTAGACCACAGTGCCACCTGCATCCCTTGACTGATAAATAACAGCACTCAAAAAAGAAAAGTAATGTCACCTCAGAACCAGTGTTGGAAACTCTCATTGTTCTAGGCACATTTTGCGACAGGGAATTTCATTAGAGTGAGCAGTTTCTGAGCTGTGGGCGCAGCCTAAGATTTCAGATTAAAACTGTGGAGTGGAAGGAAGACCTTTTTCTGCCTCCCCACTTCAAGCTACTCTTCAAAGACTGGAGAAGAGATCCTCTTAAGAATATTAAGGGGGGGAGGGTTGAGCAGGGGAAGGACTAGACCATGTGAAAAATGAACATAATATTTTAGCCACAGTTCATTTATGTTCAGCTTTGTATTCTTGTTATAAAAAAGTGTGCCTAGAGACATTCAGTTGTTGCACCCATAACCTAGGTTTAAGGTGCTGTTTAGCTCCCGGCTTTCATATCTCAGTTTCTAACACTGCTCGGAACATAAAAGAACTGTGGCAGATCATTGGGTAAAAATGGCAGCACAGCCATTTAAATTTATGGAAGCTGAATGGAGAGCTGTGCCTGATATAATCTAAAAGTGCCATGGGATAATTACATTACCAGTTTAAAATACTGTTTGAGCATTCTGGAATATATGGGTTGTGGGGACATTTTTATAAAAGGAGTTAAGGCAATATATATTGAACAATCAAGTAAATACTGACTGAGAATTGTAAAATAACTAAAGGAACCAGACAAGGCTGCCCACTGTCACATTTATTGTTTATAACAGTTTTAGAAGTTTTGGTGCAAATAAAAAGATGCAATCAAGAAATTAAAGGAATAAGGATGGCGCAGAGACAATATTAAAAGGCAATAAATTAAAAGCTTTTGCAGATGCTCAAAAGATGACATGGCGGGGGAGAGGGGGTGTTGACGAAAACCCTACATCCCCATTCATGCGATCCGTTCAAAATGTGTCATTTCTTTTCTAGGTTAAACTGATTAGGGCAGAACCTGCTTTCAATCTGGTCAGTCTAGATTTTCTTTTCACAACTAGGTGGATTTGCGGGGAGGTTGGTTTTAATTAGAAATTAGGAAAGCAGCGTAATTAGCGAAACAGGGCTTTGTTACCCCTGCTCCTCCCTCCATTAGATCTGTACAGTTAAGCTATTAGCGACATGATAGCAGGAAGGAGGTGCTCCCTTCGCTGTATTAAGGTAGCCTAACACTCCTTTGCTTTGAACTTCTTATTTAAAAAAAGTATCAACTGTTGCTAATAGCATTTCAGGTCTATTAGTCACAGAACATGAACACTGAGCACTCATGTGCGTAACTAGCAGCTGTCGCAACCTTCTAAACTGAAGCACCACGTAGGGTAATATGACCCTGAGCTTAAAGATAAAAAGTGTAACAGACAAGAGAGAATGCTGAGGAGGCTTCAGTTACCACCGGCGCTGTTCCTGATGGAGATGAACTCCCAGTGGCAACAAAGGAAAATCTTTACTAAATCACACCCAATGCCTATATGTATTTAATCCCCATAAAGCAAATCTAAAACATTATTTGGGTAATGTTTAAAACCAGCTACTTGTAAACACCTTTCACAGGCGGTGAGATTTGATCGCACAAAAAATGAAGATAATAAAGGGCTTTGTTTATAGGAAAAAGCAATGTATATACGTTGCTCATCAATCTACAGCAGAAAGTGTTGCAAGATTATGTACATTTAAGATCGGATAATAGACATGCTTTCTAAGATCCATTATTTCTCACCTCTGATGTGGCAGGTCTGATATGGCTGGATGGCATAGTTCCTGTTTAGCCTCGTTCACAGCGAATTCCGGATCATTTTTTTTAAAAAAAATCGCACAAACATAATTTAACAGAGGATATTGGTCTCTCAGAGGTAACATTCCACTCATTTCATATGTATTTCCATGTCAAAAACATTGCTGCGTTTAAAAATGAGACTACTTAGGAAGACAGAAGACTTTGTTTCTAGCTAATCTGAAAACAAAATGAAAGGATTCAAACGTTGGCTAACATCACGCTTTGATGTGAACACTCCTTCTATACAAGTAAATATCACCTTAGTAACCCAGTGAATTGCACAACCAGGGCCATGTAACTGAGATTTATTTCAGTAATCAAAGTTCTGCTCTACGCACATTGCTTACATGGGGATAATTGCCATGTAGAATAAAAACAATAACATGAATGCCATCGGTTGGACAATGCAGTTTATGCTGTAAAAAGGCACTGGCCAGATAATCCTAACTGTAACTCTACACTCAGAAATATGAAGAATTAGTACCTGAATCTGCTTGCTCCTTTCCTCACTCATAACAACAACACAATTATCCTATACTTGGCAGTAACTAAAATGGAACTTATGTCTAAAAACATGCATAACTAGAAGGAATGAAAAACACTCACGCATAAACAGAGCTTGGGAAACACAGTATGCACCACTGATATTGGCTTAGGTGTTTTGCAGATCATATTGTCAAGATGTGTAGTTTTATGATCTTTGGGGAACTAGGGCTGAGCCTGAGGATCATACAAATGACGAGCACCCGAAGCCAGTTGATTTGTGATATTCAGACCCCTTTTGGGAGTTGAAGGATTATGCAGGTCAAACAGAGCATGAGGATCATATGAAACACATTGTTGCGGTGCTCAGTGCGTGTCCTGCAGGCAGTCCAGTTGATAAAAGCCAGCCTCGCAAGGGACAACCCCTATATATTATTATAATTATTTTATTATTATTCAATTTATTACCCGCCCTTCACCAGCAAGTCCCAGGGCATCTTATAACAATTTAAAATCCCATATTAAAAACAATTAAAGCAAATGAGCGTCGCGGGAATAGGATGGGTTCTGAAAACATTTATCTCAGGTGTTAGGGTAAAGGTTAGAGTAAAGATGTGAGTCTTCAGCATACACCGGAAACTATGTAATGAAGGTATCCGATGCAACTCTGTGGGAATTCTACAACCTAGGAGCTGCCAGAGAATATAATTGCCCAGGCTACCATCTCCACAACCTCTGAGGGTGATGGAACTACCAACTACTACTCTGGTCAATCTTAACACCCAAGAGGCTCTGTAGGGAAGTAGAAAGTTTGTAGGGAATACTTGGCAACTAAGTTGTCTAGGGCTTTAAACACTAGCATGAGTACCTTTGAATCAGGCCTGGAAACAAACCGAAAACAGGGGTTACATGAGCTCTAAAAGGAACCACAACCTGTCATCTGGCTGCTGCTTTTTGGACCAGTTGAAGTTTCTGAGTTGCCTTTATTAAGTTTGGTTTCCCGATCCTATCTTGTGAGAGTGAGTCAGTATTTCATTAAAGATATACAAATCTTCCTGTCACCTTTGCTACATCAGTTAGATCACAAAACGTGCGAGTTGTGGTTAGGTCATAAAACAGATATTTTATGATGTCTTCCTCCTGGTTGCTGCCCTGCTGCCCTTGTGGGCATCTTCCCTCAAAAGACAAACAAGTAAACAGATTGGGGAATTTCCACTGTTGCAATTGTACGCCTAGCAACACTCACTAATTTCTGAACCGGGCATTTTTATCATCCTGCCGCACCCGTCCCTCCCTCTCTACGCATTTACTCAGCATACTACATCAAAGGATATTATCTAATGACATGAAGTTCTGTTGAGAAAAAACATGCCAATACTTTACAGATGTGGGCCATTTGCCATTGGTTGTGTTTTCCTGGACATGCTCCTGTGCGTTTTAACAGCCTTCTCACTTGAAAATATAGAAGACTATAGTTTTACCTGGCAGGGGTAAATGATTGGGATTGCTTGATCCCTGTGTTGATTCAGGAATCAATGATTCAGTCTTGATTAAGCCTGTTGTTGCTTTTTGTTTTTGTTTTAAGGGCGGAGGGCAAACCTACGAAAGACAGCAAACCTGTATGTAAGGAAAATGAAAGATGAAGAATGCACACTGAGCTGGAGAACAAACCCTACTGAAATAAGTGGAATTTACTTCCAAATAAGCACGCAGAGATAAACAAACAAAACCAAAACGAAATTAACTGTGATTATTTATTTTTTTAAAAAGCCTGCCCGGGCAATCATCTCACATGCATTTGTTACTTTTCTCCTGGTGTAGCTATAAAATGAGTTCAGAAGTTAAACCCTTGAAGAATAACAAAAAACAAAGGAGAGAGCTCACTAGGCTAGAAAAGGGTAGTTGGGTGTGTTTTACTTCATATATATATATAAATATAAATAAAATTGCAGGCCGTTTCACTTGCTAGGGCAGAGTCCTGTTTGCTCTAATGGACCAAAATCCTCTGGTTGGTCAGTGCACAAATAGGGCAAAATTCTCATTTCTGCTGTGTCCCCATCGCCCCCTTACTGGCAGCAGAGGGGAGAAAGGGCAGCTAGGCATGAATGTCTACGGAGGAGAGAGGCCTACGCATGGCATCAGCCTTCTCTGTAGGGACTAAACTCTGCCCCAAACTTATATATGGGGCTGGGCGGGAGTGTTTCGAAGCGGTCCCGCTCCCTCGGTTCCCCCAGGGCGAAACAGAGAACGTCCAGCCAAAAGGCCTAGACCATGGGTAGGCAAACTAAGGCCAGATCCAGCCCAATTGCCTTCTAAATCCGGCCCGTGGACGGTTTGGGAATCAGTGTGTTTTGACAAGAGTAGAATGTGTGCTTTTATTTAAAATGCATCTCTGGGTTATTTGTGGGACCTGCCTGGTGTTTTTACATGAGTAGAATGTGTCCTTTTATTTAAAATGCATTCTGGGTTATTTGTGGGGCATAGGAATTCGTTCATGTCGTCCCCCGTCCCCCCCCCCAGAAAAGAAATAGTCTGGCCCCCCACAAGGTCTGAGGAACAGTGGACTGGCCCCTGCTGAAAAGGTTTGCTGACCCCTGGCCTAGATGGCTGGGCGCATTGGCAAAGAGAGGCAGAGTGGAGGAAATCCTTGGCACCGATAGGAGGGGGTGGTGCAGGGCTTGATGCCAATTTAAGGGAAACAAGCTGAATTCCCTTCCAGCCTCTCTGTTTGCAGCAGCAGCGCCAGGCGAAGACTTCAATCTGGGCTCAGGCCGGCAGCTCGGCCTGAACACAGTGGAGCGGGGAAGGGTAGGCGTGAGCCTAGAGAGGAGAGTTGGTTCTCCTTACCCGCTCCCTTACTCACAGGAAGGCCAGTTGGCGAAGCAGGACCCAGTGGTTTCTGCAGGAGGACCCTGAGCAACCTATAGGCTGGAGCCTGCTGGCTGCAGAGGACTTGGCAGTTGCTGAAGGCCTTGCCGACTGACATAACACAGACTCCAGTACTGGTTGCAGGAGGGCCCTCCGAGGCACTGGGAGACCTACTAAACCTGGGGGGTGAGCTAGCCGACCTGACCAGAAGAGTCCGCGACCAGCAGGTGGAGGAGTACCAAGAAGAATGGATGAAATTTAAAGAATATTTAGTTAAATATGCTAACTTAAATAGAATTATTTGCGAGTACCATATAGGCCTAGGATCTAAATATGTGATGTTGTAGAACATAATGGATAAAAGTCAATATGAAAAGAAAGAAAGATGTTAATAGGACTATTTAAATTTTATGTGAAATTAGTTTTGGAAAACTGCTACAATGATTTATATGGAAACTCAGCCAGGGGGAATTCGAGGAAGTCACTTAACAATGTTAACAAAAGTGGAATTCTTATAGTTAAGATAAATGTTTTTGTTTGTTTTTGATGTTCTTGTTTTATTTGTTTGTTGTAAATTTGGAAAACCAAACATTATTTTTTTGAAAAATAATAATAAATAAACCTGGGGGGTGAGAACAGGGAGATAGCATTACAGCCAGCCCTTTTTTTGGGGGGGGGTCTCCTTTGTGGGAAAATCCCCCCAGGGGGATTTAGGCAGTTAGCAGCGGCTGGGGTTAGAATATTGCCCTTGCTGTTGTGAGGCCTGGGCTTGAGCAGTCGTATAGGGAAGGGTGAAGGGAGTTTCTTCTGGATCTTGGTACTCATTTGCTGTGGTCTTGTTATTTTCTCGGTAGGTAGTGCAGTATGGTGGTTAGCGCACTAAGCCCAAGGAGCTGAGAGAGATCAGGTTTAAAAATCCCCCTTTAACTGCAAGCTCATGCCAAGCCTCATTTAGCGGTTGGCTCCCAGGGCTTGCGTTTTGCAACTGTGCTTCTCTTTCCTATGGGCTGGGGCAAGGGAGAATATTTTTATAGTTACACATTCTTTCCCAACCTGCATTTTCTTAGCATGGCTCCAGGTGAAGGCAGGGGAGGCCCTAAGGTTAAAGGAACAGTGCTACCTGCACCCCAGAGGAAGCGTGAGCAGCCAACCCCTTTCCCCTCACCTGAGGAGGTGGAAAAGCCAGATTTTTTGGGGGGTGGGGGCTATATTGACACGCCTTGAGGCCTTGGAGGGGCAGAAATCAGCCCCTGCCTCAGCTGCGGCTTCCAATTCAGCAACTGCAGTGGGAAGTGCCTGGCAGCTGGCAGCAGCAAAAGAAGAAAAAGCCTAACCAGGGTGCTGTTGATTTAACTTTAGCACGTTTGGATGCCTTGGGAGGCAGGTGTCAGTTCTGCTCCACTAGCTGTGGAAGTCTCACAGGAAGCAAGTGTGTCTGCTGACACAGCAACGGGTGAGGCATTTTTTCCCATCAATGGAATTGGTCAGGGTGGCATCCACAATCGCCATGGGCTTGTCAGGGTTGGAGTTCTGCCCAATGGCCATTCTCCCTTTCGGTGGTGGCTAAGGCTTTTTCTGGACTCCCCCTCCAGGGAGAATCATGGGTTTGAGCCCCACGTTGGGCAAAAGATTCCTTCATTCCAGGTTGGGCTTGATGACCCTTGCTGTCCCTTCCAACTCAACAATTCTATGATAACATAACATATTGTAGAAGGTTATACATTTTTAATGGTGCTAATGTTTAAATGTGTTTGTTAAATTATTGCCTCCCCACCCAGCTTTGTTTTTATCTGTAAGCCGCCTTGAGTCCCTGTCAGGGAGAAAGGCAGGGTATTAATACATGGATGATGATGATGATGATGATAATAATAATAATAATAATAATAATAATAATAATAATAGGAACTGCATGTAACTGTAATCAAGTGCCCAGAAGCAAATCCAAGCATTACCCCTAATCCTTAAAAAATTACCCTGCAGATGTAGATAACCTACCCATCCTTATTTATTCCCACTACATATTGCAAGTGGATGATGGGAGGAGGCTGATTACGAACCTTCCACGGCTAAAACTGCGACACGGCTATCCCACCTGTACTCAGAACTATTCCCAGGTAAGAGTGACAAACGGCCATCCAATCTTTGCTTAAAACACTCCAAGGAAGGACTCTCTCATGGGAGTGGAACAGGTCTTACTGTCAGAGTCTTCCTAACGTTTACTATGCAAAGTGTGGGTGTCACCTACGTAGAACAGTAGAGTTGGAAGGGATTCCTCAGGGTCGTGTAGCCAAAACCCCTTGCAATGCAATGCACCGCGCTTCTTAAGTGTTTCTAAACCTCGCCCCGCCACCACACGACGTTGGGAAGAACCTTAAAATCTCGTTTCTTCCCTTTTAAAACCCTTCCCTTCATTTCCCTCTGGGCAGCTCCCTCTTCCGCCCCTTGGGGCGGTGGGGTGGGGTGAGATCCGGGAGGCAGGCTTTTTTTCTCTTCCAAATAGGAGCCCGGCAGCGAGCGCTGCGCGTGAGTCTGCAAGCCGCCGCGAGTCTGCGGCGGGAGAGTTTGCCGAGCGCCGGAAACTTAGTTGGGAAAGTTGCGAAGGCGCCTCTTCGGCTCGGCTTGCCCCATAAAACGAGCGGGATCCTCGAGCGAGGGGACCATGTCCGGCTCCTCCAACGTGGCGGCCATGAAGAAGGTCGTGCAGCAGCTGCGCCTCGAGGCCAGCGTGAGCCGCGTGAAGGTGAGAGCCGGGGGGGGGGGAAGCCGCGGGTGGAGAGGGTGCCATTACCACTGCCGCCATTATTGCGCCTCGGGGGAGCGCCTACTCATGGCTGCTCCCCGGGAGCTATTACTCCCGCTCACACAACTGCTTCAAGTATTTCGTTTGCACTTCCCTTCGCTAGGCATAGGAAAGGTTGGTGCGCAGCGCCTTAGCAATGGCAGAGCGCGCGTAAAATCCAACGCACTCACCAAAAGCGGGGCGCAGGAGACACCCCAAACCCGACCTTCCCAGGTTAAAACTGGCTTGATTGCTCTCTAGCTTGGCCCGTTAGGTGCTTGCTCCCGGAAAAGCGGCTGGTCTCCGCCGCCCAGTCCCCACCCATACTTTGATCTCGTTATTCCCCCTTTTTCCCCTGGGATCTGTTGTCTTTCTCTTAGAAAGTTGGAGGAGGAGGGGTTGGCTTGGGAGCGCTTCTGAAATCATGAAGCGGGTGCTTTGTCATCTCGGCTTTCTCTCCCTTGGAAGCCTTTTTGTTCCTCGGAGGGAGGGAAGGAAGCAAGGGGAGGCGCAACGAGCGATCTGGCGAGCTGAGCCGGAGTCCGCCCAAGCCGCAAAATGGGGAAGTGTGCGAGGCCCCGGGCAGGCGGAGGAAGGAAGATCGCGGCGGGGCGGGGGAATCCCCGGCTTTAAAAAACAAGCACTTTTGAGCCTTTGGCCTCAGGCGTTCCGAGCAATCCTGGCCGACTTAAGAATGGCGACGTTTGGTCGCTTTCCCCCCTCAAGCGCTCAAAGCACTTCGCATCGGGAAGCGGAGTTACCATTGCATACAGAACCCACGAGTAAGAACTTTGGTGAGTGCTTGCTTCTTGAAGTGAGGACCTGGCAACTTTATGTTCAGCGTCGCTTCGTTCGCTGACTGATAAGCTAACTGTTAATACACTTGTTGCGTTTCGCCTTCAGTTCCAGCAAGGGCAATTTGTTGTGCAAGCAAGGAACTCACAAATATTATTCCTCTGGTGCCACCATGTCTCCTTAGGGAAACGTGGCTCTTTCAGAGCAAGAGACTCAGCCCCCAGGATATCCATATCTAGACAGCTTCTAGTTGTCTTGTTCTTGTGAGAATACCTTACAGTTCTGCAGTGGAGCAGGGGCAACCTGTGGCCTTCCAGATCTTGTTGGACTTTCAGCTCCCACCATGGTTGCCAATTGGTTGTATTGGCTGGGACTGATGAGAGGTGGAGGGCAGCATGTGGGGAGCCACAGATCTCTCTCCCCCCCAAGTTAGAGGTTTAGTGCCAGATTCATTCTGTAACATCTCCCATTAATAAGAGTTCAGATGGCTGGTCTTAAAGGCAGTGGTGCTAAGTAGGACTGATGTGTGGCCTCATGGGGGGCTGATGCAGATCACTGCATCCTTCCTGGTTTTAAAAAGTAGTATAGTCAACTGAGTGTGTACACAAATACAGGTGCTCACTTTATTAATTTTGCTTTATCAAATGTACAGTAAGGTAAAGGGACCCCTGACCATTAGGTCCAGTCGTGACCAACTTGAGTTGCGACGCTTATCTCGCTTTACTGGCCGAGGGAGCCGGCGTACAGCTTCCGGGTCATGGGGCCAGCATGACTAAGCCGCTTCTGGTGAGCCAGAGCAGCGCATGGAAACACTGTTTACCTTCCCGCCGGAGCGGTACCTATTTATCTATTTGCATTTTGATGTGCTTTTGAACTGCTAGGTTGGCAGGAGCAGGGACCGAGCAACGGGCGCTCACCCCGCCGTGGGGATTTGAACCGCCAACCTTCTGATCGGCAAGTCCTAGGCAGTGTGGTTTAACCCATAGTGCCATCCGCGTCCCTAAATGTACAGTATTTGTATACCAAATTATGCTTACTCCCAAGATTGCATGATGGGGGCTCTGATTTGATGTTCTTTGTTAGCTTTTGCTCTAAAGCATGTAGAGTGGGTGAAGAAATACTGTGTACTTGATGACTCAAATAATATACACAGCTGTCAGAACGTTAGTCCATGAGGTCTAGGATCAAAAATTGCGAAGCTGTGCAGCTTCTTGGGAGATCTGCCAGTGAAGGAAAACAATTAGGCTTGGTCCAGATAGAGCACCAGTCCATCTGGTACCCGGAGTGTGTGTGGAATCCATTTTGATTTCTGATTAGCATATTAACATTCTATTAAGTATGTTACTGAATCGTGTGGATTTGTTCTAGGTTTCACAAGCTGCAGCTGACTTGAAGCAGTTTTGCCTGCAGAATGCACACCATGACCCCCTACTAACAGGAGTTTCTTCAAGTACAAATCCATTTAGGCCGCAGAAAGTGTGTTCATTTCTCTAACTTGTGTGACCTACGTGGACTCTTTTAGTGGTAAGTTTTTAAGTGAATTATATGGCTTTGGTGTCTTTTATAAAAGGGATGGGGAGTCTGTAGCCCTCTAGATGCTGTTGGACTTCAGCTCCCATCATCTCCAGCTAGCATGTCCCAAGGGTAAGGGATGCTGGAAGTTCCATTCCTTACGCTACAGAGTTAAACTAACACTTACCACTTGAGTTGAATGCTAGATATGCTTTCTAGAAAGTAAGTCCCACTGTGTTCTATAGGACTTTCTCCTAGGCAAGTGTATAGTAGTGCAGCTTAAGTTTCACCAGCTTCTAGGCTAAGAACTTCTTGTTGTGAATCATAAATGAGAACTGATTGTGCATATTAAAATAATTAAATTTTGTGGAGATACAGGGCTCTGTTTACCGTTTCACATTAAAAACTTCTTACTGACTTTTGATAGAACTAATGTTAAATCTCTTGGCTGCCTGTGGGCTGGGCAGTCATCCTTTCCTAACCTTCTGCTGCAGTCCAGCGCCTATTGACCTCAGCCAACGTGATGGGAAATGTAGGCCAAAACAGCTGGAAGGCACCAGGTTGGTGAAGCTGATCTATGTAGGATATATGAATGAGCAGATAATCCAATGTGCCATATGATCTTTGGGGGGAAACCTGCTGTATGTTCTCTCAGCCACAGATACACAGATGAGGGCTAGCTAGCCTTCAGCCTTCCTAGAGCACCCATCTCTTTGCAACTCCTAAGTAAAATAAGCCTGCCTAGCAAACTTCCTTTGTAACTTAAAAAACATTTAGCGACCATATGGGAGGAAAGTTGCTTTTTTTGTTTGTTTGTTTTGCATCTTAGCAATTTTGTTTAGCTCTATGTATTTGGGAATTGCAGACAGAAGAGCTCAGTTGAAGGAGTTAGTAGTTTTCAGAATTCACACATATCAGCAAATAGTTTTCCTGCAATGAGTTTTCTTCTGTGTTTTTCAGATCTAATCTGTTGTGGGTCTGGTGAATATGGAAGTGAAAGAGATTGACCTGGAACCTGTACAGAAACTTTGTGTTAAATGTGCCAACTTAGAACTAGTAATACTGCTACTGTTGTCAAACTTCTTACAATCTACCTCTCTAAACTTGTATGCTAGTTGCAATAACTTCTGTTATCATGATGGAATCAATTTTATATTCAAGCAATAAAGAGTTGATTAAATAACTTTGCTGGTATAATGCTTTACACATAAAACACAGGGCACTGTCAAAACAGGTTTCTAAAATGGCACAAGCAAGACACCATCAAACTGCTTGCAGCAGCAGCAGCCTGCCACTTCTTGTTCTTATTATAATGGCTAGAGCACGGGTAGTCAACCTGTTCCCCGCAGATGTTGGGCTCCCAACTTCCCATCACAACCCCTGCTGGTACAGTTAATTGTCAGGTTAATGTGAGTTGTACTCAATATTTAGAGGGGACTGCATCGAGTACCTTGGGGTTAAAGGATTCTACAACTGAGGGCAGCTACCAGTTTGGCATTATTCTAAGATGGAAGCTGCTTAGGGTTATTACCTCCATTTTAAAGTTTATGTTGACCAAACAGTTTAAACTCGCCAGTTTCTGGCAGTTAAGACATAACAAGCCACAGCTAGTTGAAAATAACTAATTCCTCTCTCCTTGTGGCTATGCATAGGTGGTAGGCCATACATTTAACAACCATTAAACCAGGACTTAAATGAGCTGTTTTGAGTATAAACAATAATAATTGCAAGGTAATACTCAGATTTAACATTAGCAAGGTTTTTTTATTGTATTTTTATTTAAATCAATATATGAAGAGTGTTTTTTACTGAAAGCTGTTTTATATGCCTTTAACCCTTACTGAAGTTTTTCTGTGTGAAGAAGGGAGAAATTTGGGGTACACTGCCTTCCATGAAGCCAGAATGCAGTGCTAGTCACTGTCTCCTGTCTCTTGTATTTTCAGAGTTAAATAGAGACATGGATTCCCCCCTTTAAGTCTTACAGATTTATGCAATACTTGACTTGTATTTCCATACCTTAATCAGCACTGAATATGTGACCATACAAGTTAAGATATAAGACAACGCTTGCAAATTATTAAAAAGGGTATTTGACAATCTTTACTTTTGACAGCTGATCTTGATAAACAACTGAATGAGCATGTGTGCTGTTCTCCGAGTATCAGGATTCTACTCCTAAAACAGAGCCTACTTTAGAAACAAAACGCCCTCTGCAAAGAACAGGATTAAGAGTTCATCTCTTAAATACAAGTGATCGGCAGATTATTCATTTTCTTGCTATTGTAACACGAAATCTTCCACTTCAAAGTAGTAGTGATGTGAGGAATGTACTCAAGGCACTGAAGAAGATGGGTAGTTCGACTGATGCTTACGTCAAGTCTGGTGAAAATAGTCATTTGGGGGGTTTTCCGTGTAGACCAAGAATAGACTTGAGGCAACTCCTTAGCAACCCCTGTGTTCCTGAAAACTCAGCAGAAAATGAAACAGCAGTTTTGCATTTTCAGTCTGTTATAGGTGGAATTTTCTTCGACTTGTGTCCATTTCACGGCGCTAAAAGATAAAGCAGGCATGAGTAAGAGACAGATTATTAAATATTAAACAATTTTAATAGGGTTTTTTTTTTTTGCATGTTAGGAATGCTGAATACCAGGCATAATTTCACAAGGGGTTAGGTAGGGGATTAGGTAGCCACATAAGCACTTCAAAGGTTAAGTCAGCCTCACTTTAGGTCATCAAATAATTTGGCTTATGCTTCCTGTCTGGGCTAGCTCAAAACTTTCACTGCCTGAGGCAGATGGCAAGATGATGCCACTTGGGCTGGCAGCTAAATCTTACTTTGACACCGGTAGGCAAAAAAAAGACTTGTTTTGGCACATGCCCAAATGAGTCCCTGCTCCCGGTTTGGCGCTGGAAAGTGGCAGGTACAATCCCTACAATTGTACTGGGCTTTTGTGACCACCTAATATGAAGTGCAACTGCAGGAACTGCCTGCTTGCCCCTTCAGCTCTAAACATGGAACTGCAGAAAGAAAGCTGGGGTTGTCCCCAACCACAGTAACAGAAAAGGCACAGGACTCGGGACCAACAGCCTGAACCTGTGCATGCTTGCAGTGTTCAATGGACCTTACTCCCAGGTAAATTACGGTATTTTTGCTTGGCAAATTGCCCTGGTTGCTTTGTTATAGACAATCCCATTACTACATTAAAATAGATGTACCTAGGAACAAGCATAATTGAAAATAGGATTGCCTCAAATGGACAAGGTGCTGGCAAGTACAGTGAATGATAGGGATAAGGCCCTCACAAGCAAACTTCTGGCTTGGTTATGAAAGCCAGCCCAAATCTGTAGATGCTTGACTTTAGGAACTGCACGAAGGAAGATGGAATTCTCTCAACAGCTGATCCAATGCCTTAAAAAACAACAACCTTGAAACTACCCAAAAATATGGTTTTGCCATGGAACAAAGAGTACACATGAACTAAACGTTTGGCTCTTTGCATTCTGGCTGCTGTCCAAACTAAATATTTAAACTCTGTCACTCCATATTCAGGAAAACCAATATGGTAATGGCAATTTCAAGAATTTTTAAATATTTTGTAGAAGATGTTGCATACCCAATTAAGTGCTCTGCTATTTGCACCCTGTAAATGTTGTCTGGCCTCTTGACATTTCTTACATAAACAGAATCCTTCATTGCTAAGAGATTGTTGAAATATAATACCTTGTGAATCCATTCATATTCGCCAAATTTAGAATCAAACGTTCCCTTTTGAAGAGATCTTAATTTCAGGGTAAAACGTGGGCCCAGTTCTTGAATTGCCACCCTTTTCTCATTTTTGAAGATGTACCTTTAAAAGATAATAGGAAACATTAGCAAAAATGTCAAGCGCAGCGAGTTCTCATACCTTGCAACAGAAGTTTCCACTCACCTATGGAATCTGAAAAATATATAGTCACGCTGATTGTGAAATGTAGCTACTTGTCTACCAACGAACTGGGGATCGTGAGGGAATAAAGAAGCAAACATCCGCCCAATGGAATGGCCCAATCGTGTTGTAAAGTTGTTCAGGATTATTTCAGGCTGATGTTCTGAGGGAGCTTTTCCTTTTCGCTAGAACAAATAGAGTATTACACTGAGCACACAGTCACACAAGTTGGAAGACTCTGCTTGTGAAAATAAACTCACCTTTATTTCTTTACGCAGACGAACACTACTCATCCTAAAATGAGCAGTTGGACCTTCAGGCAAGTGACTTAACACAAGCCCATCTATTCCAACAGAGTTAAGACAAACACAATTAAACAATTTTCACATAAAAGCACTCGGTGCAAAGGCAGCTTCTGTAGAAACTTTAAATAGCGACAGACTATCCAGCGCAAGAGTAATAATTATTGCACTTACCATTCTATACTTTATGCAAAACTGCAGTTTCATACACATTACATATCATACACTAAAACAGTACCACTAAAATGCTGTTTTCGCTTATAATCTAATTGTGCTATCAATATTTATTGTCTATCTTGCCCTCCCCCCCCCAAGAGTCAAGGACAGCAATTATCAACAGTAACTTTAATAACTACTGTATAAAAGACAGTGTCATATGTGAAGGATACTTGGTACTTTACGATCTTCATTAATAACAATCAGATCTGTGAAGTCCCTCGAGATACACTGTGGAATAATTCTTTTTAGAGCCAGTCCTCTTCGATAGTAAACATGTGAATTCGGAATACAAGTTGATAACTGTTCACAGAATCTCACAGTTCTCTGCAAAAAAATAATAATTAAAAAATATATACAAAAGACTTGGTTAGGTGAGATAATTCTGGGGATAATATAGCAGATAACCAATTAATTATGATATCTTGGCTAAAAATATATATATGTATCAAATTATTCTTCCATTATAGCCACCAAATATTTTAAGAGAGTTTTTCTTCAAACATGTGATTTTTGTGAATGGGTCATTGCACTTCAATTTTTAAGGTTATATAAAAATTTGTATAATTAACCATTAAAAATCATGCTTGTCCTGAATCAGTTCTTAAATTTATGCACTGTAACCACATTAAGTTCCAGCATGCACTCTCTACAAAATATGAAGGAAGGCTCCTGGAGCCAACTGGGGAATTCTGATGTGCCAGAAGAATGCCACTCTATTTTCTGTGCGTGTCTGACCAAAAATTTGAACTGAATGTGGCTAGAGTGAATAAATTCAAGAAAATGGTGGTCGGATGCTGTAGAGTATTGTGTGTCATTCTTTTTAAAAAAGAAGAAACTGGCAGTTGATCATACACTTTATAATTTATAAATGGATAAGAAATCTAGAGCAAATAAACAATCCTGCAATATTATGCCTCCTGACCTTACGTATAAGCTAGGTGTAACAAGCTTTACCATCTTTTTAAAATTTTTATTTAAAAGTATTTTCTTTTTACCCCACGGGGCCTGTCAGATGTCGTGATAAGAATCTTTGGAACCGTCTGCCTGTTGAAATAGGGTGCAAATTCATCTGTAGCTTCATCCAAAGTAACCTGGAAATATAAAATGATAAATACTGCATGAAATCACACAAGAGTATTTTTGTTGTTGATGATGATGCTAAAAATCAAAACCTTCAATTTGGGAGTTAACAGCCAGTAATCACTTCATACCAGAACCATACATATACTTGTAGATGTTTGGATAACAATCTTTAAATATTAAGCAACACATATGAGGCCCTTTAAAATAAGACTGTAACATAAGGATCAGAGGCACTTCTTTTTATCCACCATCAGGCAGATACTTCAGGTATATTTTTCAAGACAGGACCATAAAAGGCTGCCTTAAGCCAGGTCAGACTGTGTGTGCCCATCTAAATCAGCATTATCTTATCTAACTTGCAGCAGCTCTCCAATCTTTCACACCTTCTGCTATCTGATCACTTTAGATTTCAGGGATTGAACCTGGGGCCTTCTGAAAAAATCTTAGGGAAACTTGCTTTATTTTGCAAAATAAAAACCCAGTGTTTAATATTTTATTGAGAAATAGGCTCTACCAGCTTGAAAATTTAACATTTGATCAGTAACCTAAGGCTATTAATGACCTATTACAAAACAGAAAAAGGAATTAAATACTTTTATTCACATCAGTCTACTTTGGTTATTTATTAAATGTAATCATGCAAAAACTATTCAG